GCTGGGTTTGATAATGTCATCTCGGAGCATCTCTTTGATCATTGTTGTCATCACTTCTTTTTGGCTTTGGGGATACCAGTAAGGTTTGACATTGACAGGAGGAGAGTCTGGGAGGAGGTGGATATGGTGATCTTGTGTACGGTGGGGTGGTAAAAAAATGGAAGGGAATTTGAGCAGTAAGGAGGCAATATCAGGGTTAAGGGTGGTGGAATCGAAAGGCAGTTCGGCTAGTGTTTCTTTAAAAGGTGGTGGGCCATCGAGCTGGGTGAAGATGATGGTATGGAGTGATGCAATAGAGTGGGTAATGGCAAATTTATGGAACTGGCCTAAGGAGGCTTGGTTGGGCTTGGGGCCAATGGAGCCCGTTAAAGTAATGGGTTTGTTATTGTGAGAAAATTGGATAGAAGGTACGGAATAGTCAGAGAGAAATGACCCAAGAGTTTGAAGCCATTGGACTCCTAAAATGAGGTCGGCACCATGGATCGGTAGTATATAGAAGGGAATCGTGAATACAGTGTCGGATAAGGTTATGGGCACATGTGCACCCAGAATATTGGATTGTTTCGCCGTTGCCAACCACAACGGAGAAGGGTGTGAGGGCGAGAATGGGAAGGCGCAGGAAATCAATGATTCGGGGCTGCATTATATTGTGCGAGCTACCAGAATGGATGAGGATGGTGGCTTTCAACTCCAAGATGCGGCCCTAAACACGGAGGGTCCTGCGTGAAAGAGGTCCGAGAAGGGCGGCATGGGAGAGAGAGTTGGAAGTGAGTGGTTTCAGGTGAGGGTTAGTCAGATTCCCTAGGTGATTCGACATCAAGAGTTCCCGTAGCCAGGAACGGATGGTCCACTTGATGAGACTCATCAACTAGCAATAACAAGAATTTGCGGTTGGGGTAGTGATGACCCGGGGAGAACTTGTCATTGTAGTAGAAACAGAGGCCTTTAGCACAGCGATCATTAATCTAAGATAAAGGGACACGACGGATAGGTGGGGTAGTAGTAGTGGGCGCAACGCCGAGCACCGAAGTTTGGGTGTGTTGGTGGTCTTGTGGGAAAACGAATGCGGTTATATGGAAGTTTTGCATCTAAAAGCTTTGCTTCAATCAATTTGGCTGCACCAATAGCATGGGGTAAGGAGGTGGTTTGTAAAACCATAAGCTCTCGTTGAATTTCATTGTTGAGGCCCGAGATGAAGCAATTTAAGAGTAATTCGGCGAATAGGCCAACCACGCGATTGGAAAGGGTCTCAAATTGTTGTTGGTAGTCCACCACCGTGCCAATCTGTCGCAGTTTGAATAGAGTCGCTTGATGGTTCTCAAAAGTAGAAAGACCAAAACGAAGTTCCAAGGCTCATGCATGAAGAATGGAACGTAGGTTAGGCGTTGGTGCAGTGGAGTTTGGTTGAGATCAAAATAGCGTTCTGCCTGAAATATCCAATCTAATGGATCAGTACCATCAAAGGAATTTAAGGTGATTTTGAGTGTTTTGGGAAGGGGAGGGGTTGTGGTGGATGGTGGAGGTGAAGGCTAGTTGGTCACGTAAGGTGGTCATTTGGATTTGAATTTGGATGCTGATGAAGGATTGAAGGTTTTGTTCCAAGGAGATTTGCATGTCACGGAGCTGAACATGCAAGTCCTCATTGGGTTTCTCAGGTGGGTCTTGATTGTCATGTTTAGGAGGCATTGAGTCAATGAAAGCACCAAATAATGATGCAAGTGGTAAGGACAACCCTCTTTCGAGCAGAGGATAGCTCCAGAAAAGAAGGAAGCAATAGAGATAGAGATGGTTTTGTAATCTTTTCTTCTCCTTTTTTTCGTTCATGTAATTTTTTTCTAGTGTTTCCGTTTCCTACAATTCAGGATATACTCTAAGTGTACAGTAATCTGTGAAAACACTACTAACAAAATTTCATATCTAACAACAAATATTCTCAAGGATACAAATAACAAAAAGCTACTTCAATCAAATATAATCACTCATCTATATTGGTTTCTTCTTCTGACGATTGGGCCTATGATTGGGCTCATCATTCACTTGCCTTCTTTCTTTCGTACATATATCACTATGGATTTTGGAATTCCATGTAATTTGACCACCATCTTCATGAATGCTTCAGCAACTTGTTTACTTGAATAATTCGCTTTAAGAGGGTAAAATGTGCATATTTGGATAGTCTATCCCTAACGATGTATATCACTATGTAGCCTAGGAAGAGGGCAGACCTGTAATGAAATTCAAAGCTAAATCTTCCCAGATTTGGCTTGGGATAGGTATAGGTTATAACAGGTCAGCAGGTAAGGTGGTTGTTGCTTTAGCTTCCTGACATATCAAGCATTGTTGAACGTATTTTTTAACATCAGAATGCATGCCTGGCCAAAAAAATTGTATTGCGATTCGGGTCAAGGTCCTTGTGTAACCAGCATGGCCGCTTATAAGAGTGTTGTGAAACTCTTGAAGAATTTGCTGGATTAATGCATGCTTTGTGGGCAGTACCAGCTTATGTTTCCAAAATAGCAATTCACCATGGACTGTGTAATGAGGCTTCACAGGTTGATTAGCTTTACAGGACAACAGTACAACATACAATTCAGGATCATTCTGTTGAGTTTCTTGAATAGCAGAAAGTAGTTGAGGAATTAGTTGTATTAGGGTAATAATTGTACTGGTACTGTTTGGTTTTAGGAATTAGTTGTATTAGGTATTTATTTAAAAATAAAAATTACATTTGATCGGTCAAAACCGAAGATAAAATTAATTTGATTGATTAAAAATATTAAATAATAAAATAAAATAATAAATAACTACAATACCTATATATAAATTTAATAAAATAAATATAAATAAAATTAAGATAGATATAATTTAATATGATATAGTTATTTAATAAAATAGATAAAAATAAAGTTAATTTATATATAAATTATAAATAAATAGTAATATATAAATAAATCATATGTTTTCATTAATATATATATATATATATATATATATATTAAAATTAAATTATTTTAAAAAATTAGTTCAAATATTTAATTATATTCAATTACATAATCGATTAAAAATTTATATTTTAAATTTTTTTATATGTGTTTTTATAATAAAATGTCATTAATAAAAAATATTAAAAAAACATGAATTATTAAATATATTAATTTTTTAAAATAATTTTTATTGAATCATGTTATTGATAAATTTATTTTCTTTAAATAATAAAATTGATTAAAGATTTACATGGTACACAAATTTTATTTTGATTATACTTTATATAATAGGTTAATTTTCATAAGAAATAAAATTTTATACGAGACAATGTTTATAATTATTTTAAGGATAAATTAATTTCATCTTAAAAAATTAATTTCATTTTTTATAAAAAATTATTAAAATAAATTTAATGTAAAATTAATATAAATATTCTCAAATTTATAATATTTATATAAATAAATAAGAAATATTCATGTATAATTTATTAAAATATTTATGTAAAAATCATATTCGATTGTAATCAAATATAATCAATTATGTTTATTATGATTATGTAGATAAATAGAATTAATCATATCGATGACTTATTTGAATAATAATTATTATAAATATCAATGTTCTTGTTATGAATTTTAATATATATATATATATATATATATATATATATATATATACACGATTATTTTAAATAATTAATATTACAATATTTTTATATATAATTTTCATTTGTTTCTTTAATATTATTATTCTCATCATATTTTATATAATAAAAACACTGATCCTATATATTTTTAGTATATATGTGTTTATATTTTTATATTATTAAATTTTAAAATATTTTTTTTTAACATACATCACATACTCTATTTTTAATTTTATACATGTTTAACGTTTTTCTTTTACTATTTTCACTTTTTTTTAAATGCATAAATAGTTTTTTAAATTTATTTTTTCTCTCAATTATTTTATTTTTTTATTAATTATATATTATATTGTTTTTTCTCTAATAACATCAAACGGTTAAAAAAAAGAATTCATTTATACATAGTAGAGTTATTATAATCTTATATTTATGTTAATAACATTAATATAAATATATTAAAGTTAATATTATATTCTTTTTATCATAATCTCAATATAATTTTCTAATTTTAATAATTATATTAATAATTTTAAATAATAAATAAAATTATAATATTAATTACGACATTTATTAAATTAATAATTATAATAAATATTTTTTAATTTATACACATTTTCTTATTAATATTATTTTTTATGATAAATATTAATTTACTTTAATATATAAAATAAAATTATGGATAATAAATTTTAATCATAATCATAATCATTTTTTATTATAATAACTTTTTGTCAATATCCTTTTGGATTATAATATCTTATTTACAATAATTATATTATATTTTAAATTTATTAAATAAATAAATTATCAAGATTTTTATTTTTAACATATTTATTAAATATATACATAAAATTAAAAAAGAAAACAAAAAACACTATCTGAGTGTTACAATAATGAAAAAAGAAGTCTATTTGAATAATATCATTATCAATTATTTAAAGTAAAATAAAAACTAAAACAAGGTGCGTTGGATTATTGGGAACCGAAGTTTCCTGGTAAGGTTTTGTTCACGTGATTAATCACGTGCAGGTTGGACTTGTCCAAATACGGTGCCGTTTCAGCCCAGGTTACATTCATTCTCTTCTTTCTCCATCCAAAGACACTCCAAGTGACTGTGGCCGCGCTCGGTGGTGACGGCGGCGACACTCTGTTCAGCGGCCAATCACGTAAATCCCTCATTTACCTTTTTTTTTTTTAATTTCTTCTGATTCCTAATTTCGTTAAGCACGCTATTGTCGATGTGTTTTCGAATGACCGAATTTAAAATTTTGTTAATCGAAAACACTCTTTCACAATCTTCCGTGTAGTTTATCTTCGAAGCTTTTTTCAATCTAACTAAAGTGTTTTCTCACTGTAGAGTGATAGGAAAATGGCGTTCAGAGGGAAAGAGATGGTGAAGAAAATTCTAAAGACGGTGGGAGAGAATGGTTTGAGTCGAAGAGAAAAGGAATCGTTGGAGAAATGCATGCCTCGAAGCAAGGTTGTGATGAATCGCGCCAAACGCGGTCTCTTTGCGGGGCGACATATTCAGTTTGGGAATCGTGTCAGTGAAGATGGCGGTAACAAGTTCGTATCCATTTCTTGGTCTATTTTTTGTTTTGGTTTTGAGCTGTTCTATATGAACGATGGTGGAATGTTTCATTTTGTAGCCTCTGGTGTTGATCTATATTTACAGTTTCTGTCGTTTAATAGCTGTGTTAAGATACCTTTTCGTACTGCTCCTCGTGGAGTAGATCATCCAACCAAGCCTTTGACCAGTGAACGGGATAATTCCCACTACCGCTGGAAGGCCAGCCGGGCCGTGACCACGGTGGGAACGGGCTTCCCAAAAAGCCAGCCCCGGGGGGTCGGCATAGAGTGAAGGGGAAGGCCCTAATTGTGTTGACAAAGCCAACTTCTTGGGTTGGGGCGGAGAAGAGCGGTCGTGGGGACTCAGACCGGGGCGCGAATGGAGTTAGTTGAATTGTATGGATTGAATGCTGATGAACTGATCATGGATTCAATTTGTTTTAGCTCAAAGGCCAACTTCTACTTATGTTTGCTCTAACACTGTCAACTTCTGAAGATATTTTCTCCCCATTAAAGTAATAATTATACATTTTCTTTTTGGGAACTCTATGGGAGAAGGGACAGTTCCAGCTGAAGAAGTCCAATGTAATCTTTAAAGTTGTCCTAGGTTGATGTTTTCGACCATGTTTTTTCTAGATAAAAGAATAAAATAGTTTGAAGGTAAGAAGAAATTCAAGGATTAAGAGGATGATATATCCTAATTATATTAATAACCAAAGCTAAAGCGTAGATACAAATGCAGTTTTCCATAAGATCTTCATAAAGTGCAACAAAGTAGAACGGTGAAGATAAATCTGTCACTGAAAATCTCGCTGCCTAAAAGCTTCTCCACAAAAGGCCATGGATTTCTCTCTAACTAGGGCGCCACAGAACAGTGTACGAAATACACTTTTGTAAAGCTCAACTTGTTCTTGACAAATCCTCTGCATTTGAACTTTAAGAATTGTTCCAAGATCTGTCTCTATCAATGTTTCCCCAGGAATTACCAAAATACGTATTCAGAAACATAATTAGCTGTTGTACTATGTAAAACTTATTGTGCATTTCTGTAACTGGTTAGTCAACTTATTTGCATCCATCATTATGAGCATCTTGTCAATTGTGTGCCTATGATTATGGAGTGTGGAACACAGGCGTGTTGTGTAGTAAGTAGTATGATAATGGTCATTGTTAATAATTCCAAACTATATTGCTTGCATGAAGACTTGACCTGTATGACAGTGGTCATTGTTACTAACTCTGCTTTGGTTCTTTCTTTGTTTTCCCTTTCTTTATTCCAATTATCTATCCTTTGCATGGGAAGCCCGCTTGCTTGCATTTCCCCGATGGGTGGCTGCTTTTGCTGGAAGAGGCGGTCCCTAGACAGAGCTCTCTGCTTTTCCTTTTTGTTTGTTTTTCAACCTCAATTAACCCCTTTGTTAAAAATTTTAACAGTATAAGATGAAAGATAATGTTCTGGATTAAAAATTGGAAGAGTCAACAAGCTAATTATCTCTGGGTTCCTAAAAGTGTGATGGATAAGGAGAGATGATTTGCGAATTGCCTCTGCACATGTTTAGTGATTGGATTCTGATGCATGTTAAATTCCGGAAATTCCATTTTCTATGGAGACACAGGTTGCAATCACTAGTATAAACTGTCAATTTCCTTGGCTCTCCATGGAGCCAACATGGGCTAAATTTTCTTTGTGGATCCTTTTTCCAGTGATTATAATTTTGATTGAATTCTATACTGTACTTATTATTGACCTGTTGCTGTCATTGTTCTTAACTACTACCATCGTTGGCCACTCTGTCTTAAAAATTCTTTAGTCTTGGATGTTAAATAATAAACTTAGTGATTTATTGATGGCTTGTACTAATAATGTTTGGAAGAATGTGTTCGGTTAACAGTTGCTTATATTGTAACACCAAATATAGAATGCAAAAGTTTTGCTTGTTGTATATTGCATGATATTGCCTGTCATTGTAATCATGATAGTTACAGGTTGAACCTCTTTGTTGTTTAGTCATCCCAACATAGTTTAGAACTTCAATGTTGTTTGTTGGTTGTGCAATTATATGTTAGGAAATTCTCTTACCTTTTAAATATATTAGAGAGAATGAAAGAAAAAGTATTGATGCGAACTTGTTCTTTCTCTAATGATTTTGATAGGACAAGGAGAACCTGGAAACCAAATGTCCAGGAAAAGCGGCTCTTCAGTTATATCCTTGATCGTCACGTTCGTGTTAAAGTCACCACCCATGCCATTCGATGCATAGACAAGGCAGGTGGGATTGATGAGTACTTGCTCAAAACTCCTTATCACAAAATGGACACTGAAATGGGTATTCTCTGGAAGGCAAAAATTGAGAAATTGTATGAAGAGCTAGGCAATAAGGAGGTCGTATTCTTTTCACTTGAGGATGAAGCGAAGTTTGAGCAGGACTTCAAAGATTTGAAACTATCTGAAAGGGAAGCACGAAAGGAGATCAGAAGAAAAATGTACACTGGGATGAGCAAGCACAAGCTAATCGAGGTAGAACATAAAGACGATCAATCTATTGTCGAGAAAGGCAATAAGATTGAGGAGGAAATTTCGCATGATTCATCAAAACAGGTGGTTCCTGTCTCGTATGTCTTAGCTGCTGACAAGCTCAAAGTTGGAAGTATTATTTCTAACTGATGTATGTTATGACAACTGATAATGCTGGTGTAAGCTTTATTAGCTCATAGAGTATGAAAAATCTTTGCTATTTGATTTTTGGATCATATTGGTTTCTTCACCGAGGTTTTTGTTCCAATGCTTAAAATTTGTGTAGTGAAAAACATAATCTAATATGTCGAAATAATGATCCAGTTCTATATTTCTAGCGGGACTGCATTTCCTGGTCCCAACTTGGTAAAATTCAATACAAAGGAGTATTGTTTTCATGTTGTTTCTCTATTTTTCTTTCACATTTTGGGACCTTCTGGTCTGCGTTGCATAATGTCAATGTACAGTCTGGTTGGATATTGATAGGAGGTTTATATTTAGAACAGAATTCATGGAGACATTTATTTAACAAGGCCCTACAATGAGGTAACTGCTATAACGAAGATGATATGCACAGGCAGTTAATTAAAACTGCACAAATATAAATGCTAAAAAAAAAACAATATTAAAGACATTTAGTATTGATAATCAAATGTCATAGTCTAAATACAACATGGGAGAATACAGAGGGATGTAGATGTGGCAAACAGAGTAGACACCTGTGAAATGCTTCTGGGGGAATTAGAGTACTACACATCTATGAAGAGGGAACCATCAGGAGGAACCGCGTGGGATTGGCTGGAGTACCATTGGGTTGCCAGAAAATAGCTGAGTCTATCTAGGAAACATGTTGGGCTACCTGAAATATTAATCCTTTTCTGTAAACTCAAAAAGTAGTGTGCTTTCAATGAAATTAAACAAGGGAGATGGTTTCAAAACCTACAGCACAAGGCTTCATATACCAAATGAATAGGGAATCAAAGAATTCTCCCCTCACCCCAGCAAACAAGGCCATAGTTGGGTTTCTTTTAAGGCTGCACAGACTGCCGCAGCAAAACAATTTGTGATGCACCATGGTTGGCAATTGCCATAGCATGACATACAAACACAATGGCAGCTGAAAACCATTATTGACTACCATGCACAAATGCAGGTCTGAAAGTTTTCCGTTGAGTTCTGGATTTCATGGTAGTTTTTAAAAAGTAGTTATATATAAATTATAATAAATTAATTTTAATATTATCCTTTTTTATGTTTTATTTCTTATAAAAGTTAAATATAATTTTATAATGTTTAGATTATTATTATTGATTGAGTATATATTTTAATTTATTATATTTATATTAAAATATTTATGTAAACAAAAAATTGATCATTCATCTTTCTTCATATTATTTATTATCAATCCTTTAAAACTATTAATCCTTGAAAAAACATACTATAATAAAAACAAGTTTCAACTAATGATCATTTAAGGTTAAAGTAAAATTAGTTATGTTTGGGATATTGAATAATAAAGAGATTTGTCATATGAGAAAATTGTTATCAATTATTTCCAAGATGGATCAGTGAAATATTTTGATTAATGATGAAGAGATACAATTATTTTATGCAAATGCCCTAATGAAAGAAGTAAACATGGATGATTTATCCAATGAACAATGTGCATATTATTGAATTCATAAACGATGATGGTGAACTCATGAACGAAGACATGATCTTAAATAATTTAGATCATGAGTTGGATGATTTAAATAATTATTTAAATAGTTTAAACAAAGAGTGATTATGAACTAATCATCTTAAGTTTATTTAATAATAGATATTTATATTTTATTTATTTAATTGTTTAATGTTTTTATAGTAGTTGCATGTTTTCTTAATTTATTGCATTTATATGAGTAGAAACTCAAAGTGGATAAGGTTAATGTCGAGATTTTATTATTCCATTTCAACCTATTCAATCTATGGTTAATCTTGCAAAATTATATTATTTATATTGAAATAATATTTTATTTATTAACATTAAAAGATTTGAATATGATATATTTTTTATTGTTTATGTTTTAACTACTACTTTCATCCATGGACCATCAATTGAGATTGGTCTATCATTTAGTGGTGGTCAATCAAAACTACCACCCCACCAATTGATGCTAACTAATCATAAGTTGTTCTAACATATGATAACCCATAACCTACGCATAAACCTTCAAGTCAAAATTCTCACAATGAAACTGATAAGAGACTTATTATATATATATGCAACAAGTTAGTAACTCGTAAGTAAAACTAAACTTAATTATCAGTTATTCAACTTTATATTACTATATTATAATTTATACATTGCATATTGAAAATTATAAAAAGAGATGTATTCCTAATTCAATGTATTGAAATATTATATTTGAGTTACTCATGATAAGAATGTTTAATCCAACACTAAAAAAATATTTTATTGATAACAAAAAAAATTATTCGAAGATTTTTTTTATGTAGTAATAATTGTGTCAATGTACTTGAATATTTTTGAATAAACTCTTGTATTAATCAATGAATTTAATTAATTTTTATTTATATGGACCAAATATGGTTTTGCATCAACTTATAATTATAATGTGATGAGGAAGATTTGAAATCTAACATTCTTAGATTGATATTCTGAATTTTTATCTAAGATAAAAGAAAAGACAAATTCAAATAATATTTAAACTTAAAGGGCCTTAGACAAGAGGTATAAACAGAAAGAAGTCTATTTAAGTAAGACCAATAAGGCTACCAAACTTGATGTCATGTTCCACACAAGAAGGTCAAAAAAACTATAGATAACACTTGAAAAAAATGATATTTATATTTTATATATTTCATACATATGATTTTATTATGATGTAAGTAACAAAACATAATATTATTGATATTAAATAATTACTAACCAATATTGATTATTAGTTATAAATATCATGTTTACATCTGAGAAATCAAGTGATGTATTTGAATTAGTTTGTACTTCTTATATTATTGTATAAATCCTTATATATATATATATATATATATATATATATATATATATATATATATATATAATTTGTGTAAAATGGGCATGAGGTGTGGATTTGTATGTTTCATAAACTTAACATCTATTTCAGAGCAATTGCAATTCAATTGTTTAGAAAGAAAGCTACCAAAACCGTGTGAAACCACATCGTAACTGAAGCAATTTTCTAAAGCCTTTTCATACCATGACCCTAAAATTTCTTACATCATAAAAAAATACTCATCTCCAGAAAATTGATCAATTGTGCGCATCTACACACCAAATGGAAGTGAACAAATTGGAAATGAAGGTGGAGGCAGAAGAGAAAGGGAAATAGAAGTAACTGACCATAGAATTGAGGGTGTGGGTGAGAGGGAGGTTATATAGGTTCAGAGAAGAGCCGAAAACAGATCCATTTTTAACGGATTTATCCGGGGGTTCTCGGATTTACCCGCGGACCCGTGTAACCTAACCTTATAAAAATGCTTGCCCGAGTGAGAGAACAGACACGAAACTGCGGCGCCTCCGGCCTCTCAACTCAACCACAGCCACGCCTCCTCCTCTCGACTCCGACACAGCCACGCCACGCCAACATTCGCCCGCCGCAGCTGCCGTCGCCGCCAGCGTGATGTCTATGCATTGCATATTGTTTCCTACTCATTTTCTTGCCTGTAATAATTTAATTGCGTTCTTTCACACTCTCTCCCTCTGCAGATTATACAAAATCCCAATAATGTGGGTTTGATTAAGATTTTCACAGCTATCAAGCACTACCAAACCACACTCACTTTTGCCCTGTTATATAAAACAAATCATGAATATGTTCTCTTTCCCTAGAAATTGCTTCAAATATTGTACTGCCTACTTCAGAAGATATGCCTCAAATGAAACCATACTCTCCTCACACTCAATTTGCCACAAATTTCGTGACCCCAATGTGAAAAATATAGGCAACACCCACAAATTTGGCCGCTTTTTATTCCAAATCAACACTAGTCACACTCTATTTCCCGTCCCATTTGGACCCTTTAGTTCTCCCTATTCAACGAAGGCTCCTTCGAGATCTTATCGCAGGCGAGCCCGAAAGAGGTTTTTGAAGGCCTCCAAGCCTGTCCTAGACCAAGCCCAGTTTCAGTTGGCACTGTCCCAACTTCCCCCAAGGTTCACTACTGAAGAACTCTGCACTGTGATTGCTCGACAAGATGATCCCTTGGTTTGCTTGGAACTGTTTCACTGGGCATCTCAGCAGCCACGGTTTCGACACGACGTTTCCACATTTCATGTCACCATTAAGAAGCTTGGTGCTGCAAAGATGTACCAAGAAATGGAAGACATTGTGGACCAATTACTTGCAGTTCCTTTAATTGGTTCAGAGGCATTGTTCAATACAGTTATATATTATTTCACTCAGGCGCGGAAGTTGACTCGAGCTGTCAATGTGTTTAAGCACATGAAAAGTAGTAGGAATTTAGTTTCTTGTTTCAGGCCTTCTATTAGGACCTATAATATTCTTTTTGCTGCATTTTTGGGTAGAGGAAGCAACTCCTATATAAACCATGTGTATATGGAAACAATTAGGTGTTTGTTCAGGCAAATGGTCAATGACGGGATCAAGCCTGATATTTTTTCATTGAATTCTATGATCAAAGGTTACGTGTTATCTCTTCATGTTAACGATGCATTGAGGATATTTCATCAGATGGGTGTGGTTTATGATTGCCAGCCCAATGCATTGACATATGATTGCTTGATACACGGCTTGTGTGCCCAAGGCAGAACAAATAATGCCAGAGAGTTATGTTATGAAATGAAGAGCAAAGGTTTTGTCCCTGGTAGTAAATCTTATAATTCGCTTGTCAACTCTTTGGCTCTTGGTGGAGAGATTGAGGAAGCGGTAAATTATCTGTGGGAGATGACTGATAAACAGAGGTCACCTGATTTTATTACATATAGGACTGTTCTGGATGAGATATGTAGACGAGGAACAATTCAGGACGGCATGAGCTTTTTGCAGGAGTTACAAGATAAGGACCTTGTAGATGGGCATGCTTACAGGAAGCTTCTATATGTGCTTGAAGATGACTATGGGAATTCAGTAAAGAAGGAACATGGGAATTCAGTGAGCAGAATTGACTCAGGTACAGTAAATTCCCATTCTTTTATCACTAGTATAGTTGGTTGTTTCTTTAGTTTGAAAGAGTTATATTTAAAAAGTTACATGTCAAGTGCCAATCATCATGTGTTTTTGATATCATGTGTTACATCCAAATGAAGGGGCAAGGGCCTTGTGAGAGTCACAGTTTTGATCATGATGGACTATTATTCTTATATCAGAAGAGGCTTCGTAGAAGGAATATTGATGGTGGGAGTGATTGATGAGATTCAAATGCATTAACAGAAAAGAACCATTATCCAATACTAATTGACACAGACTATTCTCGAGATACACTTCTGCTGAACTGCAACAAAGAAATGGAAGGTTTGCTTATTCTTTCGCCCTTTTATTTCATTATGTTGGATATGAAATGGCATCCTAATGCATTGGTTTGAATCCTTATGATGTTCTTATTTTTGTGGGGCTTTAATGGATGTGTTACGAATATTTGTGGGTCAATTTGGTTGCTGCTGATTTCCCTTTTCTTTTCTTTTTTTTTCACTTATTTTGTGCATAAACCCTCGACATAATCTATTTGACGATCTAAAAGTAGATGGTGGTCATTCTGGATTTTCTGCTTCAGTAAGCCAGATATTGAGTTGCGTATAATGTTCTCTTGGTCATTGTAATTGTATTCTCTTGTTTTATGAATTATGATAATTTATGTGGTTATGTTATGCTGCATTTTACAAAATCATTCACTCGTAAGCTAAGTATTAGGTAAATTAATGAATTATCCTTCTGAGTACAACTATACTATGGAACCGCTCGACTGGAATGTATTTAATTTTATCCAATATGACAATATTCTGCTTTAAAAGTTTCAGCTGATTGGAAAGTGAAGCATAACTTTTACTTGATTTTATTATATTATTGGCAAATGCAGAGCGTGGATGATGTGTTGAGATATTACAGAAATACATCTTGGATGGTGGCACCTCCTCATAATTAGCTCTTGTTGAGGTAACCATCTCTGAGCCAAAGGCTAATGTATTTAATTTGTGTATTTTGATGTCAAAGTTGTTTTGGACAAGAGCAGGACCCTTTGATAGCTTTCAACAAATATGATTTTTAAATGTAATATTTACAATATTCGTCATCCTTAAATTTGAATTTCTGAAGAAGTGTACCACTGACTAGCAGTGCATCCTTTATGGAACCTTGTCGTTCAGGAGTATACCCCAAGCCTACAAGGCATTGTTTTCAATAAATAAGTAAACCAATGCTAGAAGGTTATGCTATGTTGCATTTACAAAATCATTCACTAAGTAAGTATCCGTGAAGTTTCTAATTTTATCCAGTATGAAAATAATCTGCTATAAAAGTTTCGGCTGCATAGATAGTGAAAATATGTCTTTTACTCCCTAAATGTCGTGTATGATTCTTAGTCATTTCCATTTTTCCCTAGTCCGACAACATCTAAGTGACCAAAGGATGACGATACAAAGAATTAAGCGTGTAGGGATGACTTTTTGCACAGTGGTACGGTACATTCAGACATGCAGGATGACATTTTGATTCTACTTATGTTTGAATGTGTTTCATAGTATATTTTGATGACCCACTTGTATATGACTTTTTGCACAGTGATACGGTACATCAGACATGCAGGATGACATTTTGATTCTACATACGTTTGAATGTGTTTCATCGTATATTTTGATGGCCCACCTGTATCATCGCAACATTTCATCAAAGCTATGTATATATATTATATACACACAAGGCAAACTTCATGAATGTGAGACATTGATATATATATATATATATATATATATATATATATATATATATATATATATAGTAGTGTTACAAAACTGGCTATATATGAAACTGGAATTGAAATAGATACATACATGAAATGAAATGGTTTCCAGTTAGTTGATTATGACAAGGACAAAACTTATTTATAGTCCTATATGTATATCTAGACTCTCTTGTTTCAGTGATAGTTCTCCATGTCATTTTTTCAAGTGATTCCAGAATGAGTCCGACTACTAAATCTAATGTACGATTGATAACATTAATGTGTGAATCTCCTAGTGTGCATGTAAATCATGACTTAGATAAACTCAGTGCCCATCTAGAATTTTCAATGGTGCAACTGTAATTTCGTATTTTAACACTTTAACAAGTTACACTTTAAAAATAAAACATATACTCGTATTTTAATCTTAAATTTCAACAGGTACAACTTTTAATTTCTTATTTTACTTTTTGAAATAAATCATATTCATTTTAGATGAGAAAAACCTTCAAGAAATACATAAGGTGGAGGAGGTATATGTAGATAACGATGAAAAGAAATCTAACAAATATATTGAGGGTAGTTTACTATTCATTTTAAGAATGTGAGATTTTTTAATGAGTTTGTGTATCAATTAGTGATACTTATATTTAATTATTTAATCATATTTTTTACTTTAACTCTTTAAATTCTGTTGATTAAAATGATACATTTTTTCAGATTACTACTAATTAAATACTTTTTAAAATTAAATTTAATTTTATAACATGATTTATCCTCCAAATTACAATCAATAGAATAAAAAATTACTTATTTTTTTATTAAGTGTTCAACTAATATATATTTTTCATTTTGTTTCTCTAAATGCTAATAACCTTGTTGTAGGAGAAGTACTTTAAAATTTCAAAAATTTGAAATGTTCAAAATTTGAATTGATTTATTTATTTTTTATATTTTGAAACATTGTGTTTGGATAAATCCATTCATTTTTTTTAATTTTAAATTTCATAGAGTAAATTTAATTTATAATATATCTAATAGAAATAAAAAGATGTTGAATTTAAGATGAAAAGCATAAATATGATAACGGAGAGAATAAAAAACATTGAAATTTCTTTTTATATATATGTTAAATTTGAAAAACTATAATTTTAAATTATTAAAGTATTTTAATAAATTTTTACATTTTTTTTCTTTTAAAAATCATTGATCCAAACAGTATATTTGACTATAAAACATTTTAAATTCTCAATATAAATGAATTATCTTCTAAAATAATTTTTCATTCAAGTCAATGTGTTTCGAGTAAGTAATCTAATCAATATGAAAGAAAGCTTAAGATATAATGCAGTGTAGGGAGAAAGTAGTGAATAAAATACTCATTAAAATAAGTTTATAAGAGGATTTTTTTAGAAGTTCATTGAAATAAACAAACAAGAAAAGCGTTTGATAAAGACTGTAATAAGTTGAAATAAATTCTTTCAAACATTCATAAATAGAAGTATTTGTGTGGAGCAAATGGAGAAACAATTTGGAGTTAAGATCACGAGTTCAACCATGAATTATATACTTTAACATTTTATTCTAATCTTATTATTCACTATAATTTTTCAATCACATGTTATAATTCTATGTTTTTCTTTTAAATTGCACCCCTTGCTTAAAAAAAGTCATATAAAATATCAATAAAAATAAATAAACCCAACATTTTGGTGCTGAATAAAATATTTTCTTCAAAGAAGATCAAACTAATTTTATTTTACATTTCTCTTGTAGTCTTTCATTTTCTTCACAGCTCAACTTTCTCAATGATTTCTCAAAATCAGTCATGTTTAAAATAAATAGGACAAAAAATAGCATTGCTTGATCCTGAAATTTAACATTTCAAAGCAACAAAATATGCTTCAGATTTTGAGCCATCTCAGAGAGACCAACAAATTGCAATACAATCACAATTCCAACACACACAGACAAACAAGATAAAAGGGATCCACATTATTTCCCACAGTTAAAGAAAATAAAGAAAAATATAAACTGAACAAGAAAAGCCAACCTAGTTGAAGATTAATTACTTATGAACTTCACTCTATCAAATTGGAAAAATCAAATTCATATTTGAGACCTGTTCTAACTTGATATTCAACTGCGCACACTTAAATTTTCTGGAAAACAAATAATTAAAAACATGAGAATAATACAACACAAATATATGCAAGAGTTCAGAAGTAATGGTAATTTTAGTGAAGAACCAATAAGGCTATGCAGCTTTTGCTGTTAAACCGAGTTGAGTTTGAAACAGATGATAGAGGATGACATAATCAAGATCTCCATATTTTTTAGGCATGATCTCCTCAGAATAGGTTTCAAAGTTTGTGATGAGGGTACCCTTTTGCTGATGATTTGCATGCACACCATCTCTGGCCAGTGATCTTTGCCTCTTCATGGCCTTCCTCCTACGGTCATGATCTGCTATCCTGCACCACCAAAAAGTTCAGATCATGAATTCGAAAGAAAAATAAAAGTGGGATGATAGAGTTAGAAGGGTTGAAGTTTAGGTACTCCTTAGAGAGAGAAAGAGGGTTGGTGATTCCAGAGAGACAAAGTGGAACCCCATGAGTAACTCGCAGGTTTAGCAGGGACTGCATTTTTCAGTTGACAGGGAAGGAAATGGAGAGAAAGAGAGAGAGAGAGAGAGAGAAGGAAGAGAAGAGAAGAGAAATAAACAAGGAAAATGGACAAAGTCTTGGTTTGTAAGCATTTCTGTGACATTTTTGACTGTTTATATTATTACATTATTATTATTAATACGAATTACTCCTTATTTTTAGTAGTTCTTTTATAACAATGTTTTATCAGTAAAATTTTATTTTAGACATATTTTAGAAGCAAAGAGAGTTATCCCGTAGTGGTTTTGAATTTATGAGAAAAGGATAACATTTGTAATTGTGTGATGGAGACAGGGGAATTGTTTTTTGCTTTGTTTCTGTAAAAATAAAGTTTTGGTTTTTAGTTGCCTCAAGAATCAAACGTGACAAACTTGCAAATTTTGAAAACCTTTTATTTTATTTTTTAATTAACAAAGCTACTAAATCTTATTTTTAAATTAAGTCAGATTTTAATTAATGTATTATATGATTTAGAAGATAAATTATATTATTAAAATAGTGGTCCAGTTATTAATATTGTATTTTCTGCAATATGGTCCCCATCAATCACACATTCCAATGCCACGAAAATAACATGCTTGCGTAATTTATTTACATTTTATATACTAAATATCGCCGTCACCACACAGGGTATCTACATGCATTTTCTTGTTATTTCATTGTTTCATGGAATAAAGAAAACAATTTTAGATTGAATTTAAAAATACTTTTTAATCTTTAAATATTGAATTTAAATGACTAATTTAATCTTTAAACATTAAATTTAAGAGATTGAAAACAACTTTTTAATATGTTGTATTTTTATGCAGAGTTGGTTTTTGAATTTAACCATAACACATTACAACGGTCAGATTCTTTACAATTTAATAAATACGCTGGTATTAATTATGAATTTAAGTGACAAATGTTTAACTTAGGATTAGACCAAAATTATATTTGTATGTGTGTGAAGTTGAACAAGAAGCGAAGCAATCGGAACCCCAAAACGCGGCGTTTTGAACGGTCAGGACACGAACATGGCTGAAACATCATCTTCCTCGGAGGACTACAATCGACATCATATTCCCATCGAAATTATCAGCGACGATGAAATGGCTTTCATTGAAGCAGCTTTAACTTTGGCTTCCACTCGTTCTTTCTCCGCAGTTCGTTCTTCTTCTTCTTCTTCGTTTTCAAAATCACCCCTTCAAAATAATGCGTTATCCATCACCGTTGTTTCCAAAAGAAGGTTATCCAGTGGCAGTGATATTGAGGACTTACCCACCTGCAAGAAAAAACACACTCTTTCCGATTCCTTTCTTCGCCGCTTCAGGAACAAACGGGGTTTGTCCGTCACGGATCTTACTTCTACGGTATCAATTTTCGTTTTTTTTTTAACTGGGTTTTCGCCATCATGAATTTGTTGTGTTTTGAGGAAATTGGGATGCTGTGTATTTATTACTGAAAGTTGTGTGATAGGAATGGTGCCCGAAACAAATGGAGTTTTCTCTCCTTCTTGGAGGGCGAAAGGTTAATCAAGCAATGAAAGCAGGCATTGCTCGCCATGCAAAGCTTGAAGAAGAGGTCATATAATTTCTTGTTTGTTTCATCATTCATTCAACTTCTTATTTCACCATCTTACATATGACATGCTCCTCTTTTACTTGTTATTATAAATAAGAAGAATTCACGGGCATGCTTGGTCTGCTTCTGTTAAACACTTCGAGAAGAACAAAAGGGAAATAAGTTTCTTCGTAAAATTACTGAAATTGTCTTTGCAGACATGATATAATTTGTAAACAAAAATCTATTATTTAGCTTTTCTGAAAACTTATTTTTTAATTTGGATTTTTTCTATATATTATTTTTCTTCTATATGTGTTTATAGAAAATCTATCCAATCGGACGTTAAGTTGATAATTCTGTGAATTTACTCTGCTCAATCAATTAGAAATTCATAGCAGTTACCATAAGACTAAATACTTTATGCACTTACTCTATAACGATATTTTACATGTATTTTTCAGTTATCTACTAAAAAACTGCACAAACATCTAATTGCCTTATAAGTCAAACAAAAATTATTTCTAATTGGATTGTCTGTGAAATTTTATCTTGGCAGGACATGCCTATTAAATTCTTGATACAAAATCGTATCATACATGGCAGTCATGATTGGATCACAGTGTAAAAAAGTTTACACTGTGAATATAAAATTGTTTATTTTTTTATTATAAAAAAACTTTTTACACTGATAATGTTCTAATTAAATCCTTATTCAGGTTTTATTTTAGTAATAAAAATCGTCAAAAGTTGAAGCCTGGTGTTGAGATGTATCTACATCTGTGGATGTTGTCCTATGTTTTTTAGTAGTTGAAATTTGTTGATACTGTTATGAGTATGCCATCATCTGATGGTATTCTCATGTTTTTGTGAGCAATTCTTGCATATGTACAATAAAAACTGTTGTTTGAATGTTATCTTTATTTTGTGTGGGTTATACCTTATGGGCATTGTGTGCTCAGTCACCACTGTCTCGTGTTTTGTGTTTCCAATGTTTAAACCTCAAGTGCTTCTCCAAATAATTTGGCTATAAAAATGAGAAGTGGCGTGCAGGTTTTAAAACGGGTGGAAGTGAAGGTCAAATATCAGGAAGATTACTGGGCCCTGAAGTTTCTTAATTTTATAAATGGTGTAAATCAATTATTATTTGAAGGATTGACTCGTGAAATGCCACTGTAAGTTGATGATATTTTATGAATTTATCTTCAGGTTCTCATCGGTTAAATTGGTTGTGATAAACTAGTAACAGGATGTGAATGTGAAGTTCTAACATAACAGTTTACTTAAATATGGCCAATGTCATGAGAATCAATTTTAATATACAATTTAGAACGTGTTGGATTGAACCTATTGTAGTGATTGTTATGACCTACATCTATTGCCTATTTGCTAGTGATGGAAGGAAGAATCACTAAACTATGAATTGCTTTCAGAATTTATTAGAAATATTATATTTTTGAAAGAAAATAGGAAATCACCTTTGTCATATCACTGTTATCTCCTACAACTTAAAATTTGAAACGTCTTTTGACTCTTTCAGCAGTTAGGTACAGTAGAAAACTTGGTTTAGGTTCCTAATGAAATCTCCCAAGCTGTTATTACTTATTAAGTTATACATTCAACCATGCTCCAGTTTTTTATTGTTTCAACGCATTAAATTAGAAAATCTGGTGTCACATTTTGTAGCTGTTAAAGCTTTTAATTTAATCTTTACAGTTTATTAAAATCTGGTATCATTTTATAGCAAATAAGTTTAGATTTCAAAGTAATGATAGAATTTAACTGAGATTTACCCAACTCTTCATTGGTGGGATATCAAGCAGTTCTGATGATGATGGACTATTCTTCTGATATCAGAATCGGCTTTGCAGAAGATATATGGATAGTGGGAGTGATAGATGAGATTCGGATGCCTTTAACAGGAAATGACCATAATCCAATTCTAATTGACACTAAGACTCGTGCTCGAGATACGCTTCCTGCTGAACCGCAACGAAGAAATGGAAGGTTTGCTTATTATTCTGCTATTTTATTTCATTATGTTGGATGTGAAATTGCATCCTATTGCATTGGATGAATCCTTACGATGATCTTAATTTTGGCAGGCTTCAATTGATGTGCTACAAATATTTGTGGGACAATTTGGTTGCTGATAACTTTCCTTCTAAAATTTTTTACACTTATTTTGGCTTAAACTCGCAACATAATCTATGTGAAGATCTAAAAGTGACAAGTGCTGACTCTGGATTTTCTGCTACGGTAGGTCTTGATTAGAATGTATTTGGGCAGGGCGCATTATCCACAATCATAAAGTGATTTTTTTTTAGACCATGAAAATATTCTGCTATAAAAGTTTCGGCTAATTAGCAAGTAAAGCATGGCTTTTACATGAATTTCTTTCCTGATTTTGTTATTGGGAAATGCAGACCCTGGATGATGTGGTAAGGTATTACAGAAATACATGTAGGATGCTGGCCCCTGCTCATGATCAGCTCTTGTTGAGGTATGCGTCTCTAAGCCAAGGGCTAATTTGCTTAATTTGTATATTTTTTACTGTCAAAGTTGTTCTGAACAGTAACAAGACCTCGTGATATCTTTCAACAAATATGATTTTTCAGTGGAATATTTACCATATTCATCACCTTTCAATTTGAATTTCTGAAGAAGTGTACTTCTTAGTGACTCACCTAAACACATTCATGCACACACATTTCACTAACAATTGCTTATTTTGAGTAAAAACTTGAAATTTTGACCCAATGTTTCACAGATAAGAAATAATGATAGGTTATGTTGATAAATTACCTGTCACAATGAGTAGCAGTTGGTTTGCACTACATGAACCCTTATGCACATAGTAGTGTTTGCTTCATGTCAGATATGAGTATCAGAAAGATCATTCACTGCTTGGTGAAGATAAATTTGCATATGATCATGACTGGCTAAAGAATCAAATTCGTTTGTGTCTTGAGTTTTGGCTTGGAGAACAAGAAGCCACTTACACTCCTGAAGAGGAACGTTGGAAATGTCGGTACTGTCAATTTGGCGCCGTCTGTCCGGCATACAATGATAGTGAAGGAACGAAGGCACCTAAAAAGCCATGATTTAAATGTCAAAGAAGGCAGATATCTGAAATGCATCAATAACGTAAAAATCCCTCCTGAAGAAAAGCTTGATATGTTTTTAATCAGAGCTTGTCATAAGCCTAAGTAAGTTTACAGCAGGCATTATTTTATTCATCCATCAAAATCCATTATTTTGGCAGCTACCTATTCCATTCTCATCTTGTATAAAATAGAAAGGTGGTTTCTAATTGGAACATTACTGTATAAACATTGTATTCATCCTTCAATTTTTTAAAAGGAAAAGCAAGGAACCAGCATGTTTAGTGTACAGAGTTTGGAAAAAGGAAATACCTATTTAGCTAGAACATGGTTGTCATATATGTAACAATGGAATGAAGTTAAATTGTTTTTCGGTTATACCATCCTTGAGGACATGGTTCTTAGGGAAGTTGTTAACTACTAGTTTGCCTTTACTAAAGGCAGAAAAAAAGGATGTAGACTGAAACATTGAGCAGAAGCAAGAGTGACCTGTGATGAAAGTACCCAAAACGCTGAATCAGTTCAAACTCAATCTTTACGGGTCTGAAAATATTGGCAAAATGGGTTCAGGAAATACAAAAATATAAACAGATTGGTGCAACAATGAAAGAAGCATTGTACCCTGCCCCCATGAAGATGACAAAACAATAGCAGCAAAACAATATAAACAGATTGGTGTAACAATGAAAGTTTGCTTTGTCAAGATTTCCCTTGAGAATTTTGAAAAATTCAAATAAAGTCAGTGGAAAGTAATAAAACTTTTGAATAACATATCCAGGGAAACAAAACAATAAATACCGGATGATTGACTCCTTGAAGCACACGAAACATGAAAACAGAAAACAGCTCATGCATAGAAAATGGATTTGAATCAGTTCCTGCACAATAAAACACAGAGATGAGTATATTAAGATGATAATAAAGGAAATTCTTCTTTAGCAAGAAATATTGTATTAGATAACGTTCATAAAATCAAGTTCTTTACTAATGAAAACATAGTATGAGAAAATGAAGCTAACAATAATTCAAGATTGTTTACCACAAGAAACATGACACAGCTGTTACTTAGGTAACCAAGCCAGACCACTATCTTTTTAATTTTTTCCACATTTTAAGCAAAATAAATGCTCTATTCCAGCAAGTTACAAGTAAGCATGGCTACTAGGTGGGTAAATGCGGATTTTGCCTCTCGATGTTCTTAACCGTATGTGCACATCGATATTAGAAATTAACTCTTTTTATGTCTGTCTTCATTGATTCCTGATTTCCTTGTTTCCAACTTATTCCTGTTCTATATTATTTTAAAAAAATAATTATACTAATAATAAATTAATTTTAATATTTTTTATATATTATTTTTCATGTATAAATAAATATTTATAATTTTTTAATTATTATTAATTAAATATATACTTCAATTTATTATATTTATATTAAAAAATATATGTAAAAGAAATATTTAATTATTTTTATATGAATATAAAATACTTATATTATTATTATTATAATATATTATAATATATTTCAAACATATAAGTTAATTATATTTTAAGTTATTATTTTGAAATGTTAATAAATATAAAATATTCAATTTATAATAAAATATTTAATAAGTTAATTCTTATTTAATTAGTATAAAGTAATATAAGTTTTAATTATCAATTCTTTTTAATTTTTTAAAATATAATTTTTTTATTAAGATAAATTTTGATATATAAAGAATATGAATAATAAAATCTAGAAAATATAATGTAACAAAATCTAATAAAGATAATCTAGAAATAAAATAGTATTAGGTACTACTAAAATTGATGTAAAATATTTAGAAAAACATAAAGAATAAGGAAAATTAACTTTGTGTTTATCAAAATAGTTCAAAAGATTGAAAAAACCAAATTGATTGAAAAGATTAAAGAAATGTGAAATAATAAAAGGTGAGAGAAGAGAATAGTGTAATGACATGATCGGTTGAATAAATTAAAAAAGATAAAAGAGTGAAAAGTGAACAGGAAAAAAGTAAAAAGTACGAAATATAGAATAAATAACCTTATATATAATTGAGAAAGAAAAATAAATAATTTTAAAAGATTAATAATTTAGGGTTTAAGTTTAAATATACACTCAGGGTGAGAATGAGTATAGGGTCAGGGTGGAGATTGCATTGTCTATCTCTGTCCTTGCCTCCAACTTTTTTAAATGAAAAAACGTGAACCCGCACTTAAACACGATCAACTCAATTTTTTCCCATTAAATGCAAAATAATGACAGATCAATCCACATTGTGTGAGTTTAATTATTATCCCTAATTACAAGGGACTATATGTCCTGGTTTTTTAACACATCTTCTACTTGCATATTTAACAAATGTGTGTATGTTAATTTACAAAAATTATAATTAGATGATACAAAGTTGATAGCCAATCAAGAATGATTCCATAGTAGACTCACAATTCAAAAGCAAAAGTAACACTTTAGTAGCGGTGAGCGAATAAGTAATAATATAAATAAACATGACTCGACCCAACATCAATGGATGTGAGTTTAACAATGTAAATTTACGAGCATCTTATTAATTTTTTTTTTCTTGATAAACAGTCAACAAGAATTCAAATATATTCTTTTGAAGTGAATTCATCTCATCATTTACAATTATCTTTTATCTTGGATTAACTAAAATTTCGTGCAAATTATTAGGGATAACTATAGTAAGTAAATGATTAATAAATATTTTATTTGTTTTTGACAATTTATTATTAGATAGATAGTGACTCAGGATATTTGACTCTACTAGAGAATGATAGTTAATAACTTAATTTATAAATACCTCTAGTGAAACAATTTGACAACTATTTTTTGACCAACAAATTATTGGTAACATCTTGATTAAGAGGTTTAAGAGGTGCTTTAATATTTTCATTTAGAGGTTCGTGACACTTCAATATTATCTCCACTAAGAAGTTCATGTTGGACTTCAATGTTATCTCTAGTAAGATATTCATGTGGAACTTCAATGTCATCTATAGTCAAAGCTTATTGTAATAATCTGTAATATTAGTTTCTTCTTGGTCTCCTAAATGGTGATGGTGTAAATTAGATCCAAATAATATTTTAGAGTTTGAATTTTATACTCTAGAGTCTGAATTTCTTGGATCTCTTTTAGTTTCCTTCCTGAAAATCATATATTATGTCTTCATTAGCAATTATACTCGTTATTATATGAAGAAAATGATAACACCTATATCCTTTTTTATGTACAATATATCAAACAAAAATACATTGAATAACTCGTAGGACTAACTTATTACGTTGATACTTACGGAGATAAACTAATGCAAAACATTTAAAATACATAAGATAAATTATGAATTATTGTAGTAACAATTAAATTATAAAGAATTTCAAGAGGTATCTTAAATATAATAGAACTTGCAAAGTTTGATTGAAATATCTCTTATATAAAAAAAAGTATTTAAAGATTATAAGCCAGAAACAAAATTTGTAATTTACCGAATATTTAAAGCTAAAAATATATGTAGTCTAGTCTATTTAAAAAAATAATATTATTAAAAAAACATTTTTTTTAAATTTATCAAAAGATTTTATTTTAATCTGTATGGAAAGTGATAAGAAAATTAAAATTTTCAATTCTCAAAATAATTTGTTTCATTTTGCTGGATTCTGACATATTCCAAACAAATTCCGTAACATTTAATGCTAGTTCATGCATGTGTGCCTGATCAATATTATTTAGTATAGTGCATATTATATAGATGACTAATGTTTTATGTCTTTTTATTTTAAATTTTATATTTAAAATTAGTTAATTTGATCTTTCAATTTTAAAAATTATTTGATTTTTTTATATATAATTTTTTGTCCTTTTAAAAAATATTTTTTACATTTCAATATAATATTTATTAATTTTTTTATTATTATAAAACTGAAGCAAATTATTATAATCTCAAAATATATATATATATATATATATATATATATATGATTTAATTTATTAAATTTTAAAACATAAGGATGAAAATCATTTTTCTCAACTAAAATACCAAAATAAACAACATTTAATTCTAATTTTAAATAAAAAAAATAGTCTCTACTTTTTTTTTCATAAGTAATTTCAAGAAAAAAATAATTATTAAAACTATTGTTAATATTAGTAATTGATGTTTTTTTGAAACGTTAGTTTTGAAATATATATAAGTTAATTATGATAAGTGTAGGATTTTTATTATCAATATGGAAAATACTCCTTCACAATATTTTAAAATTTATAAATTTGCGCAAATTATTCTGATAGTATCATAACTTATAATAAAGCAAGCATAAACATCTCTTTATGATAGAACCTGTAAATAGTATGTTTTTTGCATATTTTTTGTCATACTTTTTATGAAAAAACTAGCATTTTCATATTTTCAAACTCATATTACTTCAAAAAATTCCTAATCAGAAATTATTATTTTTAAAATGAGATTTAAAGTTCTGAACTTAAATATTGTGAAACCAATCATATTTTCTACCTAAAATAATTTATTATAAATTATTTACAATAATAATTATTTTTCTGTTACCAGAAATTTGTAAGACTAAAAAAAGGTTGATAATTTGAACTTGCAACATTATGCTTTATTAATAACGGTTAAGTTTTTACAGTTTCCCGTTTTTTAATAACAAATTAAAATAAAATAAAACTTAAAAAATTATTCAGTTTCAAATATCTCTAAACAAATATTTTTTAAATATAAACTTATAAATTTAGTTTTTACACAATTTTTTTAATAATATTTTTTGTCAGATTATTTTTACCATGATTATTTTCACCTCTTACTTTTAATGCAAATATCCACCTACACCGTGAAGTTAATACCTGAAGCAATTATTTGTTTTGTTTGATTTAAATGGTGAGAAAAAAGGAATAATTTTAAAAAATAACAAAAAATAGAATTATTTAATTTACTGAAAATATAATATAAATGAATGAAAAGTTAATTAACGAGTGTGATTGAAGAGATAAAAATTGATAATTAGTTTATTATTATAATGTTAAAATTATCTAAGTATTTTTTAAATAAAATTATTCTATGAAAAAAAACATTAATATAGAGATTAATAATTTTAATATTTGACAATTAAACAAAAATATATTTATTCAAAATAATAAATACTAAAAAACAAACTCATTAAATATTAAAATAAAAACTGACTTTAAAGGAAAACATGATCTTTATATCAATGAGCTTAATAATTATTATTGTTATGTTATTTGTATTTATAAAAATTAAATATGTAATATTTACAACAATATGAACATTATGTTAAATTAACTCAATTAAATGATGGTTAATTTTATTATCGAACCTTAATTACCAATCTACACTGATAAAATAAGATTATCATTATACAAAAATACTCTTAAATTAATTTTTAAATGCTTTTAGGAAAAATTAGGCTTTAAAAATCTTGATAAATCATTAATGAGATTTAACTGTATCTAAGCATATCTAACATAACTCAAATATTACTGGTAAACGAGAGTGTTTTAATTTTTTAAATATTGTTTTCTAATTTTTGTTCATCGTAATTTTATTTTTAAAGAATATTTATTTTTAAAGAATGTTTTGATAGATAGAGAGAGAAAAATACATATAAATTTCTTTGATTTTATCACTTATTCATGTACTAAAAATATATTCTAAATAAAAATTTAATATAATATTTATAATTAGTGAAATATAACCTTAAAATTTAATATAGTTCTATGCTAAAATTTTCAAGATTAAGTAAGTGAAGTATAAATTAAGGATAAATTATGGTAATTTTGTTTTAAAATTAAAAAATTAATTGAAACAAACATCACAAACTAATTTTTAAAATTTAACAGTAAATATTATTGAAAATAAAAGGTTAAAAACTAACACTGTAAAACCTCATGAAAGTTTGGAAACACCAATTCAACTTGAGTTCATTGATGCATTCACAATATTTATTTTCGATAGCATACGAAAGTTGACGTAGTCGTGAGCGTGGTGCACGTGAGCACACAGAAACCGAACCCGGACGTGTTGCGACGAAAAGCCGGATTGGATAATCGGCGATAGGTCCGAATTTTGTAAGTGGAGAGAGAGAGAAAGATTGGTTCTGGTTTTGTTTTGAGTCTTCTGGGTCAAAAGAACACGCAAAGCAAACCACCCACCCCCAACGCAATACAACACAAACCGTGTGTAACCCAAAGTCGGTGTTAACCTCCCTCTCATCCAAACCCTAATCGCCACCATCCAACCCTCGCTTTTATGGTCAGTCGTTCGTAATCCTTTCCCTGCTTTCATCAATCTCCCTTTCATTTCCAATTCCCTCGCTCCCGTTCCTAATCTTTTAATTCTCTTTTTCTTATTTTGATTTTATTAAGAGTGTTGTTGGGGCCGTCATGTGTAAGCTTCATCGTTGATTCTTCGGTTGGTGATCCTCCTGATTCTCTTTCCGCTCAATTATTATTCGGTTTGACAGCATGGATTTGGTACCCAGCGTTAAGGTATGCTACATGTCCTTCACTCTTTCACTTTGTGGACTCTAACTCACATCCTGAATTGATGCGTACATGAACAATTGATCACTTGATGTGTAGATGAACAATTGATTACTTTGCTTCCTATAGGATTCCTTTGGAACTAACTGATTGTGCATGTGGTTGCAAATTCACTTGCTACCAAATCGTTGATGTAGACAACTATTATGATTTTTTTGGTGATCAGAGAAGTACGAGCAGTTTAGAGATTAAATATGTTTCACGAGTGAATTTGCACTGATAATGAAGGATATTTTACTGCAAAACTAATAGCATGGGCTTTCTGAGTAGTTTTATTTTTCCTGTGATTTTAACTACTCGCTATTTTAGCAATTATTTATGTTGTGATTGGATATGTTATATTTGAATACTTTGTGGACAATGTAAATCCATGGTTAGATACTTTTTAGTTGTTGGATTTTGATTATCTATGAATAGTTTGGCATATAGCTAGACTTAAATTTAATTTGCAGTACATCTGCAAACTGTTGTGCTGTATTTGTTTTGTGTGAATTTTAATGTTTTTATTTGAGTATTGGTTTTCTATACTGATGTGTTAATGTTGGGTTGTAGTTATGCAATTGTACTTTCCTGATTAATTGACATCTTTTGTAGGAAAAATTAAACTATTTTCGTATTAAAGAGCTCAAAGATGTGCTCACGCAGTTGCACCTTTCAAAGCAGGGAAAAAAGCAGGTGAGATAATACAAATAGAACCTAGTCTGCCGTTGTTATTTGTGAGCCTTTTTCTGAATGATCTTATAGTTTAATGTTGTATTATTTTTGGTTTGGACTCCATGTTAATTTCCTTTTTAATCCTGAATTTAGTATGCTATCTTGGAGTTTACAAATGATATAATGATGCCAGTGTTTCTTTTGTAGGATCTTGTTGATCGAATATTATCTGTTCTCTCAGATGAACAAGGTAAAATTATACATTAATGCACAAACATAGGACTCAACCTTTGGGTCTAATTCTATCTATTACATTTAGTTTATTTTCACAATGTTTGTTCGGGATGAGATTGTGCCTATATATAATATATTGGAAGTTGACATAATATATGCTATTGGAAATATGTATTGAATATAGTTTTAAATCACACCAATAGTGCTCTGATCACGGGAAGTGGAACAAAATGGTATCCTCCTGACACTCCACAACAAGCTGTTTTTGATGGTAGCCATGTGTTTATAGTCATTTTTGCAATAGAAGTTGAGGCATCAAAATTTTATAGTTTTCTGGTTGAGCAGACCATAACTTTGTGAGGCAGAGACGATCTCAACTTCTAGTGTGGCAACCTCTCACCAATGTGTTTTTTCTGCCTAAGTTTGAGGTTGCAGTTGAATTAGGCCCATTTTATTTTTCTGAAAGATGGTAGATTGGATTAGGAGTGACAGCTGATGGGAGAGAAATGGGTGTTGGACCTGCAACCCTAATTGAGTCACTCTCCAGCCCTTTTTGGGCAGGGTTTTTTGCCCTTTTTTTGTGAATAATTATATAATTTATACTTTTATGTAACTATAAACTACTCTAAATATTCAAGAGTATTTTAAAAATTTAAGACTAGCAACATATATTAATTATATATTATGCAATATTATATATTACATAATAGTGGCAATTATATATGCTGAGAAGGGTGAGTTGGGGGTCCGTAGTGGATGCCTGTGCAATATTCAGAATTATAGGAGGAGATGGAAGCTCGCAGTTGAACTTCTCGAACAAGCAAAAGAGACTCAACATTTCTACGGATCAATTCAACTATGAATCATCATAATGAAGGAGTTATACACCTATGGAAGATCAGCAAGGATTGCACCCAGGTGTTCTTGATAAGAAACTAATGATTCCATAACTGCTTTTATCTGAAGTAGGCATCCAGTGATAGATTGATATGATTTCTTGGAGGTACAGCCTTCGAAGTTGCCTGACTTTTGCTAGCAAATTTTTTAAAAATAATTATGAATTTTCCCCGCACTTCATACAAGTGTTTGCAACCAATTACTTGATATAATTCATGAAGAGAAAAAAGAAGAAGAAAGAAACCAAGAAAAGAGCACTTGAGCTTGAATCTCACTCATTGTTAGGTTCTGAGACTATCAAACTTGCAATAGTTTTGGATAAGAACTTCGTCCGGATCATCAGAGGGCTAACATCAAAGCTATGAAGATGATACAATTTGGTAACCGCCTTGACTTGCTGATTCGATAGCAAGAAAATTTTATCATCAAGATTCATGTAGATTGATGCATGAGTGGATCAGTGCAGAAGACAATTTCCATGCATTCACTGTAGGCCACCATCAAAGTGGGAATCTCTGGCAGAAGGTTCTAGAACTAACATCCGAATTTCCATGAGAGATACGTCAGCCCCAGAAAAAAACAAAGAAAAGAAAAAAGAGCTCTTGATGCCACGTAAGAGCACAAAGAGGGGCTTTTGCGAAAGTTTTAATAACTAGTAAAGCATATTATTGTTTCAACTATAGGTACAGGTAGGGGTGTTTGCCGCACGGTTTGGTTCGGTTTTTCATCAAATAATCATCCGAACCATATCAATATAAGGAATTCAGTTTTAATTTATTAATTGATAATTAAGTCTGATAACATAATATTATATTTAAATATAATAAGTATTCTGGTCTGGTTCTTAATTTCTAATTCAAAATCCGAACCAATGTGCACGGTTTAGAAAAGAGTGAATACAAGAAAAAAAAATCGTTTTGATCATTTTTGGCTTTTTGGATATGTTCGGTTTTCAACACGCGTAGGTACAAGTATTATAAATAAGTTACATATATATGGAAGGATAGATAGATGTATTGAGAGAGAGATTACTATAATTCTAACTATCTTATTGAGTCAACTGAGCTTTTTAACATATCATACACATATATGAGCTATAGGTACTATATACTCTAATAATAAATATATAAAAACAATATGCAAAAAGAAGTGTAATAATTAAAAAAAATTAATAATAAAAAGTAAGCATAATATTAAGTTAAAGAAATATAAAATATTTTAAAAAAATTCGTTTTATGTTCTATAGTAGAGTATTAACCGTTAAGAGTATTTTAATTTGCTCCTACTAAGCTTTCCCTTCCGTTTGATAAATTTGAGTTGCTTATTTTACCTTGGGCATATATCAAACCCAAATTTCCATTATTTCACCAGTAACATTTCATGTTTAAAGCTGACTTGTCGTTTTTCTATATTATCTGAGAATTATAGTCCAATTTGTGGGCATAGTTCATTTAATCTTAAAGTGTTTGGATTATTGTGCATCTGATTTAATTTTGTGATTTTAATGCATAGAATAACCTTTTGTGTGATCCTTCCTTTCTATTTATTGTTAAATATGCAACTTGTTTATCTTTTTGCCAGTTTCAAAAATGTGGGCTAAGAAGAATGCTGGTGGAAAGGAACAGGTGGCAAAATTAGTTGATGATACATATAGGTCAGTGTTAGCACCAACACTTTCGATAATAATTTCTTCTAGCTTTAGTATGCTTCAGATGCATGCAGTGACTTAACATACCTGGTTGAGTTCACATAATGATCTGGTACCTTACTATTAGGTCTGGTTTAAGATGGTTATAGTGCTCCATATGTGCTGTAATTTCTTGTCTTTTGCTTTGTTATCTTCTTTTGACATTCTTCTATTTCATTTTTTGCAGGAAAATGCAGATATCTGGGGCCACTGATCTTGCATCTAAGGGACAGGGTGTATCAGATAGCAGTAGTGTAAAGGTGAAAGGTGAAATTGATGAATCCTTTCAACCAGATACAAATATTCGCTGTTTATGTGGAAGTAGATTGGAAACAGAGGATTTGGTCAAGGTGTAGCATTAAATATGTTTTCTATTTCTTTGTGATCTAAAGGATTGTATGCATCAGCACATGCTATTTATTCAGCCAATTTGGTGATCTGATGCACTTTTCATTTGATCTCCAATTTGTTGCTTGCATATGATAATTGGAATTTCATTTTCCTTGTCATATTGCAGTGTGATGATCCAAGATGCCATGTGTGGCAACACATCAGTTGCGTTATCATTCCAGAGAAACCTACTGAAGGCATCCCGCCAGTTCCTAATAAATTTTACTGTGAACTATGTCGTCTCACTCGCGCTGACCCGTATGTGAAATTCTATAACAGATATATGTGAAATGAGCCATAATGATTTGTTTGAAAGGTTTTCCTTGTTTTAAATCTTTATTTTCAATTTAATCTTAAAAGAGTTATAGTGTACCAACTTTTTGTGTGGTTGATATTATTTGCTTATGATTTGCAATTTATTAGTTAGAATACACTGTTGGTATCATAAACTGGCTCTATAGATTTGAGATGATACTTAATAACAATATTGCATTTGTTTTTTCAGTGTGATGATTGCTTGATGGCCCAATAATACTTCAGGAGTTTGTGCCTTGTTTATACTTATTATTGTGTTTGGTTTAGTCGTAAAAAAATATTTTGTCAACAAGTTATAAACTTATAATTAATTATAGAAATAAGTTTTGTTTGATATATTAGTTAAAAGTTGATTATAAGATCATTTTTGTTTTGTTTGGATTGTTTAAAAAAATTACCTTGTAATCTTATAATAATACTGGTTATAAGTTATTTTTAGTAGCTAGTTTATATTCAGAGTAGTGAATTTGTTGAGTATAAAATGGGAAACAGAAGTTCGCTAGACAATAATCTGATAGCTTTTTATCATGAGCTTTTATATTTTGCTTTTGATTGAAGAGGTTTCCCCCTTAGAAAAGGTCATTGCTGATAAATTTGTTGATAATTCTAGCTTTTAGCTTCTAGAAGGCTTTTCCGCCCTAACATTAATCGTATCCAAACATGGATCTTGTCTTAGTTATGTCCTGAGGTACACTTTCTAGTGAGTTTTTGTCTCATAAAGATGCTTGATTATATGCTTCCCATCAATTTGACTATTTAATTCTTCTGTTCTGTTTATTGAATGTTTTCCCCTCATTTTATCTTGTTATAGTCTGTCATAATTGTCAGGGTTAGTCTATGCATTATTTATTTTGCAGTTTTCATTTTTTTTGCTTGTTAACTTTGCATCTTCTGCTGTTATTTGTTAACAGATTTTGGGTTGCAATGGCGCACCCTTTGCTTCCCGTTAAGTTAACCACAACTAGTAATCCAACTGATGGGTGAGTACATGGTGTGGGTTTATTGCAATTAGATGTGGTGTAATTGAGTTCTTTATCTTATAAATTGAATGTCTTGGAACTTAGATATACATTTTGTTGCTAATTGCATGTAAGAGGATAAGATGTCCTTCACTTTGGCATGAATACTAGCTTCTTTTGTTTGGAGTGGTGGGGTAATTATCTTATTATGTTAGCACAAATCCAAGTTCTTTGACTTGATGATGATAAGTTTTTAAGTTGCTTTCTTTTGGTGTTACATGATTGATATATATAGTTTTGTTATGCTCCTTTGTATGGCTTGGAATGTTGATGCAGTGTACTATGTTTGTTTTGTAAGTTAAAATCCTTTAGGTGTTGAGTTTTCTTTAAAGTGGCATTGTTTTTATGTCATGGTTGCCATGACAAAGTTTTTGCCAATCCCCATGTAGGCAAATGTGGAAGAAGGCCATTTTTGGTAGTGCCATAGGTTGCAATGGTATGTTTATATTGTGGAATTTTGTCCTTCTACCATATTTTGCCATTTTGTGGTGGAATTTACTCGGGAAAATAGCCTATTAGTATTAAGTGCATGGTTGGACTAAAGTTTTTAATCTTAGGTTTATTTTGCAAACTCTGATTGAGAAGGCAACCCAACAAGTCTCAAATCTACAAAGCTGAGTTGTCAGGCAAAGCTTTAAAGTGCAAAAGCACTTTTTAGAGTAAACACACTTGTCACAAAACTGAGTTTAATCTCCAAACTGGGTTTGGAGAACATAGCTTAAGAAGTATAGATTTTTCTCATTTACTTTTTCATTTCTTTGGATCTGTCAATGTTTCCCTAAATCTTAATTAGGTTAGTAAACTTCATTTTCTTTCCAAATCACAAACTGGTGTCCCTGTGAAATAATTATCTGGTGTATGTTTAAAATATATTTTTCAATGTGGCTTTTTGCTTGAATGGCTTAACCATATTCCCGTTTGAATTGTTCAGAGCCAACCCTGTGCAGAGTGTGGAGAGATCATTTCAACTTACTAGGGCTGACAAGGACATGGTATCAAAACCAGAATTTGATGTTGAGGTTGGTTTGGATTTTCAGTTTATGTTGAGAAGGCAATCCATGTCTGTTAATGAATTGGGTTACTTATTTATTGAAAAAAAATGACATGTAGGCTTGGTGTATGCTGCTGAACGACAAGGTTCCATTCAGAATGCAATGGCCGCAATATACAGACTTGCAGGTCAATGGTACGTTTTAAGTCATGCTCTCCTTACTGTTTTCCAATTTGGTTTCATGTTTGCAGTCTGGTTTTAATATTCATGGCATGTTATGCAATTGGAAGCTGACAATTGTAAAGTAAAACACTTGTAATGAAATCTATTTCTATTGATTTGACTTTGATTATACAGGTGTTCCTGTTCGTGCAACTAACAGACCTGGTTCACAGTTGCTTGGAGCTAATGGGCGGGATGATGGCCCAATTGTAAGTTTTTTGTTATTTATAGTTATAAATTGTATAACTATTTAAACTTGTCATTCAAAAATTTGTTTATTATTTGTGTTGGATTTATTCAATTTCTTATTGTATTTCTCCTTTGTCAGATCACGCCATACACAAAAGACGGAATTAATAAGATTTCCTTAACAGGATGTGATGCTCGCATTTTTTGTTTAGGGGTTCGTATTGTTAGAAAGCGCAGCATGCAGCAGGTAGGCATTCTAAGCTTTATAAATTTATAAGCTTACTATTTTGAATTACTGTTGGTTTCTTGATTATGCTTTGTCATATTGGAATAAGAAAGATTGAATTATCTCCATGTGTGGTATTGGTACAAAGTTCCAGATGTTGGTTTTCTTGTTTTCATAAAATTTAAACCTGGACAAAAATAGGTAGGTTTTAAGGTTATCTTTCTTGTCAATTTTGAATAACACAATCCCATTTCAATTAAGGCAGATGTTTCTTCCATTTGAAAATGGAAAACCTCAAAAAGTGTTGCTTCTATAAGCAAGTTAAAATATTTTGATTTTTTTTTTTCAGTTTATTGGCCATTGTTTTGTTCAAATTGTCTGGCTTATGAGACTTTGTTAAATAAAAGAATGCTGAATTTTTTGTATTAATAATAAATAGATCTGGTTTGTGTTTTGGCCTAGTTTGTTGGTTTTATTTTTTGTCTTGTTTCTGGTTCAACTCTCAGTCCTATCGGTTACTAACACAGACTGGAAGCCTGATTGACAACTGTTGAGTGAACCAACCAGTCTGTTTTTAGAAATGGTGTTGCATTTTAGTTCCTACTTGTGAATATGTTTTACGCAAAACTGCTTCCTTCCGCCACTCTAATAAACTTTTTTAATTGTTGTGTCTTTGTTATCTAGATCCTAAACCTAATTCCAAAGGAGTCTGATGGTGAGCTATTTGAAGACGCTCTTGCACGTGTCTGCCGTTGTGTTGGTGGCGGAAATGGTGATGATGATGCTGATAGTGACAGTGATTTGGAAGTAGTTTCAGATACTTTTAGTGTCAACCTTCGTTGTCCTGTACGGCTTTCATCAATAGATGGATTATTTTAGCAATTCATGAAGAGTCGTACTAACAGTTTTTCTATATTTTGATGAAATTTTAGATGAGTGGTTCAAGAATGAAGATTGCTGGAAGATTCAAACCCTGTATTCATATGGGTTGCTTTGATCTTGATGTTTTTGTGGAAATGAATCAACGATCAAGGAAGGCAAGATTCTAACAGATGTTGCGTGATTTGTCCACTCCCCTTTTTTGATTTTTTGTCTGATGATGAACTGAATTGTTTCTACAGTGGCAATGTCCTATATGTCTCAAAAACTATGCTTTAGAGAATATCATCATTGACCCTTACTTCAATCGCATCACTTCTATGGTAGTATTTAAAAAATTAATAATAATTTCCAATGTTCATTAATTTTCTATTTGACAAAATCTGTAGCCATTATTTAAATTGCTTTGGTTGCACAGATGTTGAATTGTGGTGAAGAAATTACAGAGGTTGAGGTGAAGCCTGATGGTTCTTGGCGTGTTAAGGCAAAGAGTGAAAGTGAACGTCAGGAATTAGGGATTCTAGCACAGTGGCATCATCCTGATGGATCACCATGCGTTTCAACTGATGGAGATTTCAAGAGAGTGGATACATTGAAGCAGGTCAAACAGGAAGGTGTTTCAGACAGTCATACTGGTTTAAAACTTGGCATTAGGAAGAATCGCAATGGAGTTTGGGAAGTCAGTAAACCTGAGGGTACAAACACCTCTTCTGGTAATAAAATGAAAGGTGTTTTTGGAAATCCCGAACAGGTTGTTATTCCGATGAGCAGCAGTGCCACTGGAAGTGGCCGGGATGGTGACGATCCTAGTGTAAATCAGGGTGGTGGTGGGCATATTGACTATTCCACTGCAAATGGGATAGAGATGGATTCTCTGTGTCTCAATACTGTTGATTTAGCATATGAATATCCTGCACATGACACTTCTGCTCAGGTGGGTGGTGCAGAAGTTATTGTTCTTAGTGATTCTGAAGAAGACAATGATCTTTTGGTATCTCCTGCAATTGCGTATAAGAACAACCAAAATGATGCTACTGATGGTTATTCCATACAACCACCTGTAATAGTTAATTCATATACTGATGATCATAATCTTGGTGGAAATTCATGCTTAGGACTCTTTCCCAATGATGAGGATTTTGGGATGTCTTCCCTGTGGTCATTGCCTTCTGGAAGTCAGTCTGGTCCTGGATTCCAATTATTTGGCTCAGATGCAGATGTGTCAGATGCATTGGTTCATCTGCAACATGGTCCTGTGAATTGCTCCTCATCACTAAATGGTTATACACTGGCACCTGATCACGCCTTGGGATCTGGTGGTATCTTGCAAGATTCCCCTGCTGGACGGTTGGATGCTGATTTGAATGGTGGTTTGGTGGACAATCCATTAGCATTTGGTGGTGATGATCCCTCACTTCAGATTTTTCTTCCCACAAGACCAGCTGATTCATCCATGCAGAATGAATTGAGAGATCAGGCAAATCTGGCTAATGGTGTTTGCACTGAGGAGGATTGGATATCCCTTAGTCTTGGAGGTGGTGCTGGTGGTAGCAATGTTGATGCTTCTACTCAAAATGGATTGAATTCTAGACGTCAAATGCCAACCAGAGAAGGTGGCACAAATACTTTGGATGATACTGGTTTGTTACTCTGACCTTACTGAATCAGAAATATTGCTTATTCTTTTAGTGAGTAGATGATGGTAAGTGGAGTACATTTTCAAGGGAGAGATAATAAAAAATATTTAATGAAGTCAAATTGACCATATTCTGTTTTTGCTGCATAATTGACCATGTTCTTTAAATTAATAAAAATTAAGAGAAATAAATAGCTGACTTCTGTAAAATAAACAGTGTGTCCTTGTTATATGTGTATTATATTGGAGATTAGATTGATGTAACATTTTATGGCAAAATAATCAAATAATTTGAGAATATAATTTTCGATACAAAAGACAACATATTAGCCTTAACAACTTTAGGCCTTCGGACAGGTAAAAATTCATATATGGCCTAGAATAAGTTCATAAATGTAGATTATATACCGACTTTTTTTGGTGTAATATAATTTTTAAAAATCATATGCATAAAATTATGAAATCATTTAAAATTTTAAATACATAATATTGTTTTTTTTAGTTTATAGTGGATATTTAGTATTCTCTAACATCTTCAAGCAAACAAAAAAGGCATTTATATATTTCTTACATATTGTGGAAATGCATGCATTCTTAAAATTGTTAGTTTCTTTTTCTTGACACCTGCCTGTTATCTGTGTCTCTACCGAGATGAGTATATTTCGTAAGGCTTTTGAGATGGAGTGTTTAATTCTTTCATGCGTGATTTTTAGTACATTCCTAAGCTTCATACCAAGTTTATTTGAGGGGCTATGAAGGAGGATTGGAAGCTGGGTATTCAGTTTCTTTGCATCGAGCACTGCTTTACCTTCTGTTAAATGGTTAGAAACCTTCAAATGTTTAGTTGTGGATTTGTAGAGATACACTCACTATATGGCTGTGTTAGTCTCTGCTGCTGCATTATAAAAAAGGAATTTTTAGACCTAAAATGAGCCAAATGCTTATAATTTGCTTACCTAGATAGAAAGTATAAATGGTTATTTTTATTACTTGATAATGTGGAGGATGTTAACCTCTAAACAAAGTTGAGGAGGTTAGTGTTCCCTACATCATCTATATGCATTTGCATCCTCCTTCATTCTCCTCACCTTCCTCATTTTGTTTGGTTCCCATTTTCTGTTCCCTATCAGATAGTTGCAATTTGTCTTCTGAGATAGTGACATTTTTTATTCTTCCATTTTTTTTTCTTGATTAGTTATTCCTCTTTATGCAGCTTCTTTACTCCTTGGGATGAATGATGTTAGACCTGACAGGCCAAGTAGGCAAAGGTCAGATAGTCCTTTCTCATTTCCTCGCCAAAGACGTTCTGTAAGACCCCGCTTGTACCTTTCTATTGATTCGGATTCAGAGTAAAGGTCAGACCTTGTGTCTCAAAAACTTTAGGTACTCTTCTTCACACCAGATTTCGTATTTATTAACTGAAGAAAGTTGAGAGGCATTTTTGGTCCTCATGAAATGGCAGTTAATATATATGTTGTCTGAGGCATCTCTTGTGGAACAGAGCTACAAGTTACCCTCCCAAAATGCTTGGACCCACCCCATTGACAAGGATGTTGGTCGGTAATGATTCTTTGTGCTTGATATCTAAATTGTCCTTAGGACAGATGTTGGTAGGTCAAGCTGGAGCTATTATTCCCATCAATTTTCAATGAGGGTGTAATGGTTTATTGTATAGTTGATCATTCGAATCTGTTAGTTCAAACTTTAAAATTTGGTGGGACATTATATCTGCATTTTTGTCTCTGCTGAGAGCAATAACCTGTAAATGTGTTAGCCATATCAGATCCAACAGTTAAATCAAAGATATTGTTTAAACTGGTCATTTTTCTAGAATATTATGTTGTCGATCATGTCTCGTGACATCTGGACGTTGATATTTATTTATTTTAACATATTTAGTCATCAGAGATGCCTCCCGGTTTTTTGTTTGCAAATGATTATAGAGAAAAGGGGATACGGATCCTCTCCTGCATCGTTATTTAAAGTTAAAAAATCATATTTTAAAATGTTTTTGATTGTTAAAAATGTAATGTATCCGTTAGATGTTTCTGATAATATCTTACATTTAATGGGGTTTAATTCTGAACTTTTGTTGTGCACGCAAAGCAATATGTGGGAAGGAAAAATGATTTGTGTAAATAATATATATATATATATATATATATATATATATATATATATATATATATATATATATATATATATATAAGAGGGTTGAACATCAGTGTAAATTGGATGAATTATTATGGATATTTTTCTCAATATTTTATTTAATGTTATTTTTTCTTAATAGAAAATTGGTCAATGTAATTTAACTACTCATATCAATTATACATATCAATGAGGATGAATATGCAAAATGATACGGTTATTGTGTTTATGAAAATAAGAATAAAATAATAGATAAAAATTAGAACAATATTTTAACTTAATAATATTATAACTATTGAAATAACGGAAAATTTCATCCAAGGATTATGTAATTCTATTTTAGCATAAAGTTACATGGGTATTATTGGAACATTGAATAATACAAATATAATGAAATAAATAACTTGTACCTTTTCTCTAAACTAATAAATCCATACAAAATGTACCTGCAAAAAGAAGCTATCACATAATAGAATAGAAAATTACAATAATATATATATATATATATATATATATATATATATATATATATATATATATATATTTAATAAATAGGAGAAAATGATTAAACTTAGAAAAGATAAACAACTATGTTCTAGGAACTAGGTCAATAGGTAAATACAATTAATCTAATAAATATTCAACACTCTCTTAAGCTGAAGTATACAAATTATATGTATCAAGTTTGGAACAAATGAATTCCATTCGAGACCCTCTCAAAGATTTTGTTAATGCGTCTGCAAGCTAATCATTGGAACCAACAAACTCAATACAAATTTCTTTAGACAACAACTTCTCTTTAAGTGACAGTTAATTTTAATATACTTAGTCCTCTCATGAAATACTGGGCTGAAAGCAATATGGATAACAATTTGATTATCACAATACATTTTTATAGGTTAAATTTCACAGAAGTTCAGTTCTGGTAAGAACTGTTTTATCCATACAAGTTCAAAAGTGAGAGACGTCATTGTCCTATATTCATCTTTAGCAGAAGATCGGGCAACAACGTTTTGTTTTTTGCTTTTCCATGAAATGATATTACCTCTAAGCAAAACACAGTAGTCTGTAGTAGATCGTCTGTCCATAGGAGATCCAACCCAGTCAGCATCATAGTACCCCAAAAATTGGGTATTTCTCTTATCTTCATATAACAAACCTTGTCCTGCAACTCTTTTAATGTATCTTAGGATTTGAATGATAACATTCCAATGATCAACAAAAGGGGCTTGCATAAATTGGCTGACAATACTAACTGCAAACGACAAATCATGTCTAGTAATAGTCAAATAAATAAGTTTTCTAACCAGTCTTCTATATCTTTCTGGGTCAGAGAAAGCTTCACCTTGTCCTGCCATTAATTTTAAATTTGGATGCATACGATTATCCACAGGTTTGCAATCAATCATACTTGTCTCTTTTAGAATATCTAGAGCATATTTCCTTTAAGAAATAACAACACCTTCTCTTGATTGAGCCACTTCAATACCTAAGAAATATTTTAGATTTCCAAGATGTTTGGTTTGAAAATGACTACACAAGTACTCTTTTAGCTGAGATATTCTAGCAACATCATTCCCTGTGATGACAATATCATCAATATACACAATTAAATAAACATGTTTTTTGTAGCCAATAATGTGACAATAAAATACTGAATGATCTCATTTGCTTCGTTTTAATCCAAAAGCTTGAATAATAGAGCTGAATTTTTCAAACCAAGCACGTGGAGGCTGTTTTATGTCATAGAAAGATCGATGTAATTTATAAACCAAAACAGACTCCCCTTGAGCAACAAATCCAGGAGGTTGTTTCATGTAAACTTCTTTTAAGTCACTGTGCAAAAGAACATTTTTAATATCCAATTGATGAAGAGGCCAATGACGAATGATGACCATGGTAAGGAACAGGCGGACAATGAGCCTTTTGGCTACAGGAGAAAAAGTATCACAATAATCAAATCCATATATTTGAGTGTACCCATTAGCCACTAACCGGGCTTTGAGACGATTAACTTGATCATTAGGCCCAAATTTAATAGCATAGATCCAACGACAACCAACTATTTTCTTCCCCGAAGGAACATGAATTAGGTCCCATGTTTTGTTGTGATCAAGAGCCTGCATTTCAGAAATCATGGCTTGTCGTCATCCATGATAATCAAGTGCTTCTGCCATATTTTTGGGGATCGTAATAGAGGATACAGAAGAAATAAAAGAAAAATAGGAAGGAGACAATCTATGATAGCTAAGAAATTTGTAAAGGAGATGAGGATTACGAGTAGAACGAGTAACTTTGCAAATGACAATGGGTCAACTGGAGTCATCATTATTAGGAACCGTGGTATTATAAGATGATGGAGAATGACCTGTTATGGGTGGCTCATCTTGGAAAATGAGATTGTTCACCTGGTTAGGATTGGAGGTGTCAGAAATAGGAGGTACAAATGACTCAACTAAGGAGATGAGAAGAACATATTGAACAAAATCAATATCCTGCACAGAAGAAGGGGATGATTAAAAAAAAGTGACATTAGAAGACATGTAGTACCTCTTGGTTTCAGGAGAATAACACTGATACAATATCTCAAAAAGATACATTTGATAACTCTAGCTAAGAGTTTATCTAAGCCTGGAGATATATCATGAACAAAACAAATACATCCAAATACCTGAGGAGAAACATGAAAGAGTGGTGGTTCCTTTGGGAATAGAATAGAGTGTGGAACTTTATTGTCAAGAGAAGAAGATGACATTCTATTAATGAGAAAACATGTAGTTAGAATAACATCTCTCCAATGATGAATAAGCATATTGACACCAAGCAATAAGGTACGAGCAGTTTCAATCAAATGTCTATTTTTTTGTTCTGCTATACCATTTTGTTGTGGTGTGTGAGGACAAGTGGACTGGTGTAAAATGCCTTGAGAACTTAGGACGTCAGAGAAATCATTAGAAAAATATTCTTTGGTATTATCACTTCGTAAAACTTTGATTACTTTTCCAAATTGAGTTTTGATTTCATTAAAGAAAGACTTAAAGATAGACAATAGTTCTGAGCGATATTTCATTAGATAAACACAAGTACATCTAGAAAACTCATCAATAAAAGTACAAAATATCTAAAGCCAAAAGATGAAATATGACTAGGTCCTTAAATATCTGAATGAACAATACTAAAAGCAGAATCACATCTAGATTCAGAATTATTTGGAAAAGATGACGTGATATGTTTCCCTAGTTGACATGATTCACATTCACAAGTTTGAAGGTTCTGAAGTTCAGGAACCATTTTTTTCAGTTTTACCAAATAAGGATGTCATAATCGCTCATGTAACAGTTTTGGGATAAGGATGCAACACAAGATACAGATGAATTAGTCCCAAGGTAGTATAAACCTCCAGATTCATGTCCATCTCCAATCAGTCGACCCGTACCACGTTCTTGTATAACAAAATAATTGACATTAAAGGCTACTGAGCAATTCAATGATTTGGTTAATTAGCTTACGGAAACAAGACTGAATGGAAAAGAAGGAACACAAAGAACATTTTGTAAGTTTAAAGAAAGAGAGATAAATACTTGATCAATCCCTTTAGAGACTACTTTAGATCATTGACTAAATATATGAGATGAGAGATTTTAGGAAATGATAGAGAGGAGAATAAAGAGGTATTACCAGACATGTGATCAAAAGTACCTGAGTCAATAATCCACGAATTTTGACTTTTCAAAGATTGCAAAATGCAAGCAGTTGACGAATTTGGAATTGTAGATGCTTGAGCCAAACTGGTTGATTTCATCCTTAAATATTCTTGATACTCTTCACGAGAGAACTTGAACTCAACAACTTCAGATTTTGAAATATTGGTTGTCTTATTAGGATAGTCATGCATAGCAAAACAATTTTCCTTAGTATGACTCATTATTTTACAATGAGTGCACTGAGGACGTCCTCTACTATCACGTCCTCCATTACCATGATTACCTCTTCCACGAGCAGAAATCATGGCGAAAGATTCAGCAAGTTCTTGACTATTTTTACCTTTGATAGATGGAACACGAAGTAGCCTTGTGATCAAACTCTTCGTAGAAGGAATTTTATGTCCAGTTAAAATTTGATCTCTAACATGATTAAATTCTAGATTCATAGCCCTAAGAATCATAATCATATAGAATTTATCCAGCTTCGTCTTTTTATGCTCTAAAGAATCTGCCTCAAGGAACATTTTTAATTCTTCAACTGTTGATTGAGCTTCAGCAACAATGGAAATCATATTGTTATCCTCTTGCTTAAGGGAGACAAGTTTATTAGCAGAATCATAGAGCCGTTGAATATCATTAGCAAAGATATTTTGGACCTTTTTCTAGAAGGAATTACATGTCATGAAGAAATGGAGAGTGCTCAAAATATTTGGTTCTACTTATTGCCATAATGGAGCACAAGGTTGATAATCAAGTTTCTTCCATTAGGAAGCCTAATCTGCTGATTTTGTACTTCCGTCGTCTTCTAGATGATCATGAACTCATTGTCCTAGAAACTAGAGTTCAACAAAGGAGGCCCAAGACAAGTATTTTTTGTCCATTTAATTTTTCTGTTGTTATAGTAGGAGTCTAGAAAAAGATACAAACGTTACAGGTTCTGACATCTTTATTCAGGAACCAAGAGATGACTCTTAAGAAAAAATATCACCAGGAAGGCGGTGCGTGAACCACATGCTTGGAGGAAGCAGCGGACGAAGGCGACGTATGGCGGCGCGTCTAATAAAGATTCGGCTTTAGGACGACGAGACGAGCTAGATGGTTGTGGTATGGAGTGAAACGACCACCGGGAAGGCAGCGCGCGAACCACACGCGCGGAGGAGGCAGCGAAGGAAGATGGCACATGGCGGCGCGTCTAACAGAGATGGTTGAAATGACTACCGAGGTTAGGTCGAACTCTTCGTGACGAACCCGTTCTGATACCAACTTAAAATAAATAATAAAAAGATAAAATATATTGTTGAGAGCTTGAAACTTTTATTTTGTATTCTCTTACTTATAAGGATAAGATACATATTTTAAAATATAATAAATAAGGGAAATTATTAAACCTAGAATAAATAAACCATTATATTCTAGGAATTAGGTCAATAATTAAATATAACTAATTTAATAAATATTCAACAAATACAAAATATAACTGTAAAAAAGAGAAGCTATCACACAATAAAATAGAAGATTACAGCAACAAAAAAAAAAATATATATATATATATATATTTATAATTATATATTATTTTAAACGTAAATCATCATGTATTTAATTTAATTCAATTTTTTATTGTTCTTTAGAATATTTCAATGTATTATTTTTTATAGATTCCATATTTTTTTTACATGTTGATAATTTTAAATGATTTGAATAACTTATAAAACAAATGAAAAATAATATTCGAAAAGACAATTCCTTAATATGACTGAACTAAAACTAGAATTTTAGTATCTATATTTGTTTTTAATTAATAGTATATTTTTAGTATATTATTTTTCTTTAAATTGTTTTATTTTGTTATGATTTTAATATTTTATCTTTAATATTTTTTTTACCATGTTCATTATTTGATTTTTAATTAATAAATAATGTTAACAATAAATAAAAAATCTGCATCCCAGGGTTAACAAAAACCTGCCGCTTACATCTTCTTTTTGTTAGTGGCATTTCATCAAGCAAGTTCCCTAGCGCATGACCCTCCCCTCTTTCTGAAACTTCCGCCGCACACCATCTTCTCTCTCAACCATCACCGCGGCAGCTTCTTCTCCTTTTTCTTCTGAACAACCTAACTGATCCATGGGGAAGAAGAAGCAGAAAATCGTACTTCCGCCGGAGCTTCCGCCAGAGATTCCGGACGACGAAGTTGAGGTTTCCGACGATGACCTCCAATTCATCAAAGAGAATCGCAGCTATGCCGCCTTACTCTCCAACTTGGACACCCATTCAATCACTAAGTTTGACTCTTTCTTCCAATCCTCTGTCATCTGTTTTTATAAAATTTTATCGCGCCCTTACTGGCAGTGCTACATTTTGTGTAAATTGTTAGCTAAAGTTTCGAGGTTTTGGTCACAATATACCAATACGGAATACTATAAAATTTGCATAGTTTGGCTCTTTGAAACCTTTTCGTGGTAGTGCAACTTATGAAAGGATTGAAAATCCTGACTTATCCTTGCTTATTGTCACCTTTGACTGTTTAGGTGCACAATTTGGGGAAATATTTGAAAATTTTTATCTCACCGTTTGTGAAGATGGAAAATTTTTGCAGACTTGTCGTTCAAAAGTTTTCATAGCCGTAAGCTTTAGATTGGCAATAAAAAGTTTTTTTCTTACTTTTTGCATTATAACGTTTTTGTCCTTGTACTATGTGATAAAATGGTTGTTGAGCCTGCTATTTGAATCTGTAGAGTAGGCATGTCACCTGTACAGCGTGGAAATGCCTTCTGAATTACGATAGGAACCCAATTCAATATAGCTCGAAATTTGTTTTACAGATTGAAAATAGAACTCTTCATTTGAGGCCCCTTGTAATCCCAGAGCATAAGCTCCTGAGAGAAATTATTTCTCTGCCTAATAACAAACAACCCAAATAACCTCACTTCTTCTCTTCTGTCTATAGCTAACTCTTTCCTTATTCCCTATTTTCCACCTAAGGTAACACTTGTAGGCCTGGAAACATTTGGGCTCGCAGGTACCCCATTCTGGGTTGTCGTGATTTATTAGAAATTAGAAACTTATCAGCTTATGTAAATGTATATTGTTATCAGTCTTATATGATATGAAATAGGAAATAACATTCTAACACATCCTTAGGCATGTCACACGGGTTGCTGATGCCAAAGACGATTCATTAGAGAAACTTTATGAGAAACGCATGCTAAAAAATGCTCTCAAGAAAGAAAAAGAAGAAACTGGTTTGCAGGTTGATCGTGTAGATGCTCTTCCAATCAAGACATTGGATGGAAAACTCCATTACCGGACAGGTACTCTATAGTTTATGCATTGCTGTCACCTGATTACACTTTTTTTCTTTGTCAAGTGCTTTAGTAACAGATGCTGTTCTCACAATTGTGCAGCTACAAATACAGTATCAGAAAATGATCCAAGTCGAGAGGGAATTGAAGAGGATCTCAATGCGGATGAAGGTATGGTGAAGCTAACTAAGGCTGAAAAGAGAGCCAAACTTAAGAAAATGAAAAAAGAGGCAAAAAATCGGGGGAAAGAGGTTGCTGAAGCTGAAGTGGAAGAAACACCACAAGCAGCAGTGCTGGTATAATACAATCATTTTAAAATACCATTTTTTTTTATGGTTTCAAATGTGCTTTTATTTTTTACTTCTGATACTGTAACAATTTTCAAATGGAATGCTTTGTTAAGGAAAATACAATGAAATGATAAAAAAAGCAAAATTATTCTTACTTGATTCCATTCAATATTTTCTGTTTGAACTTTCTGATTAATCATGTGCACACATATTTGTGACTGTTTTTCAGATATAGTTATTTGTTGCTTGGTCATTGGGCCCTCTTTTAGATAAAGAATGTGTCACATCTATTAGTAATTGCAAGTTTGATGATTTAACTTGCTGGTATCTGTTAAGGTACTAAGGTTATTTTTTCATTTGTCGTGGCATATGACTTCAATCAGTGTTGTTAAATAGCAGCTTAGAGGCAGTGCAGCGTTATTGCATAGCGGAGTTTCATGATCTGCAATTGAAACTGTGACCACTATCATTGTTGTGATTGTGGCATGCATCCTGCATCCTCTTGTCCTGTGACAAGCTTTAAGCCAATTGAACTTTTGGGTTATTATATTACTAATTTTATGTCATTTTTGTGTACAACTTAACTTTTTATTACATTTTTACATTTGATTTGTATCATATATTTCAACTGTTATAGTACTTTTGCTACATGCTCATGATGCTATCCATATATATGATATGGAGAAATGATATCCATTAAAAACAACAATATACTTCAACAATGATATCCATTGAAAATAGAGATATTTCTCGACAATGATATCTATTAAAAACAGTGAAATGCTAAAGCACACTATTGTTAAGTTATTTTGATGTGTGACTGACTAAATAAAGCGTGTTTTATGAGTTATTTAATAGGATCCACATTCCACAAAGTTCACCTAATAGTAGAATGTGCCGGAAATATTGCATTGAGCATTCCTCAGAAACGTGACAATAATTGTATTTTCATATTAATTGTAAATTTCATATACTTTCTTGAACTTCCTACTATTTTTACAATGCTAAAAATTAGTGAACTAGATGTTGTGGTTAATTTTTGGTATACTCTCTTTACTTTGTTTAGGCTGAGGTAAAGGAAGATCTTTCAGCTGAGGAGGCATTTGAAAGTAAGAAGTGTAAACTTGCAGAATTGGGGAATGCCTTGCTTACAGATCCAGAGTCCAACATTAAATTTCTGAAAGAGATGGTGCAGATATCTAAAGATAACGATCAGACCATTGTTAAACTTGGACTTCTATCCCTCTTGGCAGTTTTCAAAGATATTGTCCCTGGGTATTGCCTGATAGTTATATATTATAATGCACAGTTTATATGTAATGCTATCATGATTATTTTGGCTTCGAAAATCAACACTAATTCTATTTTTAATGTTTCAACTTTCATGTTAATGCATACAATGTGGCAGTTATCGGATCAGGCTTCCTACTGAAAAGGAACTAGAAATGAAGGTTTCAAAGACTGTTAAAAAGATGCGTTATTATGAGTCTACTCTTCTTTCAGCATACAAGGTTCACTTTCATGCCTAAGTGTTACACAAGATACTATGACTCCTTAAATTAGCTGAAACATAGTTATTGCATCATATATGACTTCCAGTTCCTGTGGTTGCGATTTTTTGCCTTTTTCTTGTATGTAGTTCCTCCATCGGTCAATTTTTTTGAAATATCTTGTTTGAAATTGTTATAAGATATGAACTTTGTTGATATTTATGCTGCTAAGATGTTTTTCTTTGCCATGTTGTCAGGCATATTTGCAAAGGCTGGTAGCCTTGGAGAAGAAGCCTTTATTTCAGCATGTAGCAGTTCGTTGTATTTGTTCTTTGCTTGATGCAAATCCCCATTTCAACTTTCGTGAAAGTTTGTTGGATGCTACAGTCAGAAACATAAGCTCTACGAATGATGCTATAAGGTTCTGTTGTATATTGGTTTTTGATCATTCTTCATTATAATATGCTGTCTCCTGAATTTTGTGGAATTGGAAAACTTGAAATTAATTTTGTGAATATTATTCTTGTTTTACGGTGAAGATTTAAGTCATCAGAAAATGAAACTACATATACTGTCATTTAGGCGATAAGGCAAAGTCTATGGTAATTGGGTTCTTGTTGGATTACAATTTAAAATGCTAGGACTGCCTTCTTTAGTTGTAGTCTACATAAAAGTTGTCTATATGCTACTGGTCATTGGAATTTGTAAATGTGCAGAAAAAGCCTTTTCTTTCTCAATAGAAGTTCCTGTGAGTCCTTTGTTCGAATTGATTTCTTGTGATTGAGGTAGTGTTGGAGTGGGGAGCATACAGAATATTTTACCAAGTTTTTGGAAATTACACCTTATGAAAAAGAATTGTATGTGAATATTATTCTGAAGTTGCATTTGAGGGTTTAGCATTTTCCAATATCATCATGTCTGTGTCTTTTTAAACTATTGTTTAAAAATAATACATACTTGAGGTGTGTAGTCACCAATGAACTTTACTACAGTAACTTGTTGCCAAGTTTCATAATTAAATACCGTGTTTGATTTCATTGTCTAAGTTGTGACATCATTCACTTTTGCCTGGAAACTGCGTTCAGAAAGTCAGTCATACTTCTAATTTCAATTTCTCTAGTAGTGGATAGACATAAAGTTTTGTTTACTTAGCTTCTGTTTGTTAACATTCACCCATGAATCTTTTCAGAAGACCTTGTGTGGGTTACTAGTTATTTTGTTGCTTAATATGATTTTTTTTTTTTTCATGACATTTGCTAGTTATTGCTATTTACCTTGTTCAATTTTTTTGTTTATTTTCAACAGGAAAGTTTGTTGTTCCACAATTAAATCACTCTTTACAAATGAGGGTAAACATGGGGGTGAAGTTACTGTGGATGCTGTTCGATTGATTGCCGATTATGTTAAAGCTCATAATTGCCAATTGCACCCAGATTCTGTTGACGTACAACCTACCCCCTCCTTTATTTGTATCTTTTATTTGAAATCTATACTTCATCAATGTTCTGTTTCTCTAATCAGTTTCTACATTACTTTCTTGTGTCATAAAATTTTGACGGGCCTGCTTGTTTAAAATTCTTTTTTTAGGTCTTTTCCTGCAAAAAACTTGAATACTTGTGGTAAATTTTGTAGACATGTTTTGATGAAAAAAGAGCAGTTTTCCTTTTAAAAGGCAGGAAACAAGTTTTGTTCTGTTGTTATTTAGTGAAACCTATTTTACTTTATTTTAGGTGGAATGTTTAATAGAGCTGGTCTGTAATGTTTCTTCTTTGATGCCTTTTCAGGTTTTCTTGTCCCTTTCATTTAATGAGGATCTCTTGAAGTCTGGAAAGATAGAAGAAGATCAGAAATTAAAAAACAAGAAAAGTAAGAAAAGGAAAAACTTGGAGGCCTCAAATAAATTGGTGGAGAATGATAGAAAGAAAAGTAGGCAAGAATCGATTTCTAAGACAAGAGAAGAGGTTATTACTTTTCCCATAAAGTTACTGTTGTGGTTTTTTGTTGAGATGATGCTCTAGTGGTGTCTTCTGTAGGTTGAAGCTGATTACAAGGCTGCATCCTTTGCCCCAGATGTTATGGAGAGGAAACAGATGCAAACTGAAACACTCTCTGCTGTCTTTGAGACATACTTTCGTATTTTGAAGCATACAAAGCAGTCCATAGGTGCCAGGTGTGTTTTACGTATATTACTATATCAGGGAAATATGGGTGTTCGTGGGTTTATAAACCCTGTTCTCCATGAATTAGATACTTTATTTATTTTTTTATTTTGTTTATATATTACTGTATTAATGTTTCGTGCTTAATTTTTGTTTGTGTTGAATATAAAGTAACTTTTGAATGAGAATTAATCACTTTCTATCATGATGGTTGATAATTTTCCTCCACTCTTTTGCTCAGGCCTGAAGCTAATGCTGGGGCATTATCTGCTGCAGTGGAACCCATCCCTCTGCTTTCTCCATGTCTGAAAGGACTGGCAAAATTTTCACATCTGATTGACCTTGATTTCATGGGTGATCTAATGAACCATCTGAAAGTACTTGCTTCTGGAAGTAGCAACTCAGGCAACACTTCGGACAAGTGTTCTAAATGCTTGACTGTATCAGAACGTCTACAATGTTGCATCGTTGCTTTTAAAGTGATGAGGAACAATCTTGATGCCTTGAATGTTGATTTACAAGACTTCTTTATCCATCTTTACAATCTTGTACTTGAATACAGGCCAGGAAGGTTTGTTTTAAAGTACAATATACTGAAATCGCCTTTTTCTTTATTTTTTTTCAATTGGTTTTTCCCAATGACCAGTATTTTCTATTGCTGAAAATATACCACCCATGCAGGATAGGTCATTTCTGTGGATATGTTATTCATGTACTTATTCTTCTGTGTTGTCTTTCATGCTAGTTTACATTCATAAGTATGTATATAAATCTAGTTACTATAATAACAAATTGTATAGTTAGAGATACAAGAATCCTGTGTCTCTGGCTAACGTCTTAAGCTTTCAGAATAAGTAGGTATCTAACTCTTCATTTCCATATGGTTAGGAATTCAGTCTTTGCTGCCCTCATTTTTCTAATTAAAGTATAACTTGAGCCCAAGGTAGAGTTTGCTTGCATATATTGACACTTAAAAAGGAAATATGTTGTAACCAAAAACATATTGACACCTAAAGGCCCAGGGGCCTTGTCATGAGTGAATAAATTAGAGAAATGGAGATAAAAATTATTACCAAGCTTTCACCTAACTGTGTGTTGTGCCTTTAGAATCAGTTAGTTCTTTTGATATGTACTTTTATTGGAAAATTAATCTTATTCCGTATGTGCCTGATGCAGACACACACACACACACGTGCATCCAATGGAAGCATGGAATAGAAACATAAACTGCTATTGAATTTTGTTTTTGTTTTAATCTTTTTAATTTTTTTTCCTTTTTCAACTTCAATGCTGTACAAGGACATGCACCTTATTAGCAAATTTTTCAGTACTTTTATTATTATTTTTAACTTGTTCCAGCTAATTTTTATGCTTTATATTTATGAAACAGAGATCAAGGAGAGGTGTTGGCAGAAGCTTTGAAGATAATGTTATGCGATGACAAGCAACATGACATGCAAAAGACTGCTGCATTTATAAAAAGATTAGCAACATTTTCACTATCTGTTGGATCAGCAGATTCCATGGCTGGTATGTTTTAATATTCTGACATCAACCTTCCATTTCAGATGCACTACTACCTTTGGTAATAAAAAACAGGAAATATTTAGAAAAGAGAAACATACTTATATTTAGTTTTCCTTTGAAACCCATTTCAGCCTTGGTCACAATAAAGCATCTCCTTCAGAAGAATGTTAAGTGCAGAAATTTGTTGGAAAATGACATTGGAGGAGGCTCTGTTTCTGGCACAATTCCTGTAAGCCTCTTTATTATATTACTTGTTTGCATTAAATGCAGAATCTTTGCTTAATTTTTCTCCTCTTTTTGAGAAATTTAATTTAAATATGGAGAATAGAGCGTTCAATAAGAGTGCAGATGTTAAGATATCCTCTAAGGAGTTATAATTAGGGATGTCAACTGGATAAATATCCGCCCCGTTCCCATTCCCATATCCGTGCAGGTATCCGTTATGTGGGTACCTGCATATTTTTTAATATCCGCGGATATCCACAGGTACCCGTGAATATTTAAAAAAATTCTAAAAATATTTAACAAAATATTTTAACTATAAAAAGCTATAAAAAATTTGCATAAAAATCTATAAAAATGGTATAAAGTTATAAAAAATTGTATAGTTATTAAAATCTAAAAAAGATCTATATAAAAATCTATATATATATATAAAACTGAATTTTAGACATTCAATCAAAGATAACAACGTCCAAATAAATCCAAATAAAATATAATATATCACTATCATAAGTTTCAAACAAAGTCCAAATAAACTCAAATTCATACAAATCCAAATAAAATTATAAAAGTAAATATTAAATCACGTTCAACACAATAAAAGTTCTTTAATTAATGCTTGGATCAATAACTCCACTTTGTCCGATTGATTCCTGGAAAATAAACAAATCAAATTCACTAACAATTGATATTGTTGTTTATTTTTGAATGAAATATTAAAGAAATTACTAACTTCATTAATGTCCATATCTTGCAACATTGTATAAAGTTCCATGTTGTCCATTTTTAATTTTGAAGAGCTTGAAAAACATAATAAGTTCATTAAAAATTTCTAACAATCACTTAATTAAAATATCTAATTAAAAGTGTATATATATATATATATATATATGAGGGTATTTTGGTAAATTAGAGATTAGTGGGTACGGATACTATGATACCCGTACCCGCCCCATTAGCATGCGGGTATAAAAAATACCCGTACCCATTACTCGTGGGTATCCATTTATAATATCCATTTTCTACCCGTTGCGGATTTTATCCGCGGATACCTGCAGGTATGGATTTTTTTGACATCCCTAGTTATAATTGTTAAAGATCTCACATCATTTAGAGATATAACTAAAATAGAGTATATAAATGAATGTAAAACTTAACTTACACACCGGTTTGGTATGGCCGATTTAGACTCAAACTCATTCTAAAATGATATTAGAGTATATTCCAACTAGGTTTGTTAAGCCTGTGTCTTATCACCCATTATTGGGGGTTACTATTGGACTACCCACAAATATTTAATTATACACTTGAGATGTCTAATCGTGAAAGTGATCAATGGGTTGGAAATCTCAGTCTAGAAATATGATTTAAAGAAGGTATATAAGTAGGTGCAAACTTTATTTTACAAGTTGATTTTGTTAGGTATCTATGAAGTATCAATCCTTCAATTTGTTTCACGTATCCATGTCCAATCTTGAAGATACTTCACTGATATTATCGAATCAAACCTATGAAACATCAATATATATATTTGTTTCACCTACCTGATGTCTATACTTTTGAATACTTCGCCCCAATATGTAATGGTTAAATGTTAATGAAAATCTCTCTCGAGATGCCAGAGTGTAATAAAATCTTATATCAGCTAGAGATAGAATAACATTTAGGTGTATAGATGAGGAAGTCATCTTATGAGTCAATTTTGTAGGGTTGAGTTAAGTACCTCTTTATTTCTAATATAGTATCATAGTCAACTCTAGTGATGTTGGGACATGAAAATCTCCCTCGAGATGAGGGAGTGTGATGAAAATCCCCATTAAGATGAAGGGGTGTGATGAAAATCTCTTGAGGTGAGGTAGTATAATGAAATATTATATCGATTAGAAATTCGATAAAACTAAAGGATATATAGGGAAGATAGAAACTTCACTTTACCAACTAGTTTTATAAGATTAAGTTAGGTACTTTAATATTTCCAATAAATGTCCAAGTTTTCGGAACATTTATATCCAATAAAAGTCCAAGTTTTGGGAACATTTATATCCAATAAATGTGTTATATATAAATATATAAATATTATTTCTTCGTAAACCAAAGAAGAAAATTGATCTCTATGAATTATTTTAAAAAGGCAATCAGATTGATAATGTTATTTTTGTATGTAAATAATAGAAAGTATTTTACAATGACAATGATTTATAATTTTTTATTTCAATAACGTCTAAGAAATGTAATTTAATATTTGGATTTACATAATTGTAATTTTATATTTATTATGTTTATGGATTCTTATACATTTTTAAATATATATCTTACACGGATCATATATTGTTTATTCTAAACTATACGTATTGCCGATTAGATACGTATTGTATCCTATATGCGGATCATATCCATGCATTATAGGGTATGATAAGGTCTAAACCTGCATTCTAAGAATAATAAAAGAAATAAGGAAATTAAACTGGGTATGCCAAAACATGAAGTCCTCCATTCCTTGTAAATATCCATTAGTGGTATCCTCCTCTTTTAAATGCATGTTTTTTCTTGAAGTTGAATTTATACGAAGTTAAGAGCATAATTTGTTACATAGGTTTGTCAGTATATATGTTGTGTAAATAGGTAATCATCTGTTACATTACAGACATCTGTTTACATTTGTAGGTTAAATGCATTTGGTGGTTCACGTGTTTCTTTTAATAAATTACTAGTTGTTAAATTACCTTCAGATCTATGACAGTAAAGTGCACTATAATTATTTTTCTGGAATGTTCAATAGCTAATAAAGTAATAATACGGAAAATTATGAAATGACAAGAGCCTGATATAATTATAAGGGAAAGGGGAAATAGGGAGAATGCTTCATTTATATAAAACATTATTTTCGAAAGTAACCGGATATTCTAATAAGTCAAACGGTCCAAGTCAAAGATGTGAAACGTGTCACTGCAAAATATTTAGTTTGGAGCATTTTTTTTGTCTGTTTTTATGGATTGTCTCCCTCTTTGGTATGCAGAAATATCTACTATATTCCACAGACCCCAATTTAAGTGGTGCCCTTGCGTCAGTACTTTGGGAACTCAATCTTTTGTCCAGCCATTATCATCCATCTATATCAACAATGGCCTCGGGCATTGCATGCATGAGTACTGCGCATAACCAGGTCCTTTTATCCAAGTCCTCTCCTCAACTAGCTTTTAAGGAAATGTCTCTCGACCAGGAATTGTGTTTCACACAGCAAAGTGGCAGTATAAAATTAAATAACAAGAGGAGACGAACACATGTCCCTGCTACTTCACCTTCCATAGCTTCCACAACAGTTACGAGTTCATTTGATGACAAAGAGTTGCAGAGGAAACTTATTTCCCATTTTGTGGTTCATCATGACATCAAGGAGAATGAAAGGCTGAGAAAGGAGCTGGACAGGACTACGCTATCACTACAGCTATATGAACAATATAAGAAACAGAAGAAACTATCAAAACCAAGGAGATGATCAGCCATTGCATTGTGATGTGTATGGCTTATAGGTTTTTACAATTGTGTCATCTTATCTTCATTGCTTCCATGGTGTCTCCATTATTTAAGTCATGCAGTTGTAGTTCTTTGCCAGTAGAGATTACTCTCAAACCAGCCAGTGTTCCTCAACCGAGTTCACCTCATTGAAGTGCAAGTAGCAATTAGAGGCTATCATTATTTAGGAGTGGCAGGTGATCTTTTATTGTTATTCATTGCCTTTTTATATCTATAATGGTTTAAGGCGCAATCAATTTTGTAATACTGCCATTTCCTCATGAAAATTGGATTTGACTACTTTGAACGAATGTATTATAAAGAGAGATATTTGCTATTGATTATTAGTCAAATTTAGAAGTTAGATTAGTAAGAAATGGTGAACGTATGCTTTCTCGTTTTGTATGTTTGATAACTCGATGAATTAAATCCACAAAAATTATGTTGCTTTGCTTAATAAAAGAGAAATATTTTATAGGTTATGCGCCTCGTGCAATCCCAAAACATTTTTCTTTAAAAAAAACTAAATAAAATTCTTAAAAATGAATAATTGTATTGTTTTTATATAGAAAATCATATGTTAACGTTAAACTAGAGTGAACAGACCTTTATCTGCCAAAAATAAATGCTTTATTACAATTTCTTCTCGTATTTTTTTCAGAGGAGATAATAAGCTTTGATGTTTTTTTTTTTTCATAAATGGTGCAATTTATTTTCTAAGTAGATATCATGATGTTTATTATTATTATTATTATTATTATTATTATTATTATTATTATTATTATTATTATTATTATATATTAAATTTCTAACATAAACATAAATCTATAATATCTGAATACGTTTAAACTCCATTTTGTTCATTTATATATATAATAAAAAAAATACAAGGGTAAGCTTAAAAATAGCATTTTTCATTAATGTCACTTTTACAAATTTTATTTATACACATTATTGATGTAAACTTATTTTATACAAATACTCAATGAAATTTGATTATTTGCTTTATTGAAAAGGGAGACGAAAGCTATTATTGAATTTTTTTAAGATGGGCTGACAGATTAATGTTATTTTAGAGACTGGAGGAACATGTTAGGTTATGGCTACCATTACTATGCTCTGTTCATTTATTGCTGGTTGATTAATTATTGAAAAAAATTATATTAATTATTGCTGGATGGCACATAGTTCAGCAACAATAAAAGAAGGATAAGCTAATGAAAAAACGGTGGGACACAATTAGAGCCACGTGTGAAAATCTGAGTAATTTACTACCATTTTGGTTTTAATTATTTACCAAATATTATATTTCTGGTTCCTTCACCACTTTAGCACGTCACATTGATGAACTAAAAAGATAAAAAAGGATGAAACTTACGCAGTGCACAATAAAGCTCTCACGCGTCAATTGGAGTGTCGTCCGTGAAAATTAAAAACTAGATGTCGCGCCGGAATCGGAAAGCTAATGCGTGTCATGAACACGATGCAATTATGCAGAGTCAACTTGTGTTAGTGTGTGTAAATAAGTAAGAGTTAGATGAATAAAAACATTTAATTGATCAATATAAAAAAAATATCGTCTATTACAGTTGCTGCTTGTATTAGTTTTATCAACCAGATCGTAAGTTCTCCCTTCCCAAGGAAAAGTATCGAGTATTGAGCGAACTGCATTTGGGTAGGAAGGGTACACAAAGATCGCTAATTTTTTGGTCATGAGCCTGTTCAAATTTGATTTTTGACAGTGCAATATCCCAGATACAGTGAAATCGTTGGGCTGGGCATTGTAAAGGCCTCTAGAATACAGGATACAGCATATTCTACTCAACACTCGATCAGGATGAATTCAACTCCAGCATGTTCTTTCCTGCAATGCTGAGTTCAAGAAATGCAATTTCTTGCAGAAGTTGAAGTTGGCCTGCTGAATGTCGATAGAAGGCATTGGTTTGTCAAGACAGAACTTAATCATCGGATTCTGCTTCCATAACCGGGAGAATGCTTAAAGCTGAAGCACCTAGATGCATGCCCCTGATAACACCTCCATACCCAACTTTAATCTTATGGCACAGAAGTAAAATGGAATCCCAAAGTGCGGTTCTTCCCTGACATAAATACAAAATTGTTAGCAAACCAATATAAAATTTAACTTTGTGCTAGTTGACGAGAGACTCATTGCCAAATCATGTATTGAAAATATGGGTTAAATAATAATAGTATAAAAAAAAGGCTCAACCGTATTTGATGTAAGTATAACTTGGGGCTACATAGGCATACCGACCTGAAGAGAAAATTGCAGTTTCTTATCCCAGTACAAGGCAAAAATTGGGGGGCCCTGCTTTCCAACTGCTAGAATACATGCTCCAGGGTGTAGCACAGAAGGGACAGTAGACACTACAGCAATGTATTTTTCTGGAAACCTTTCCTTAGGGGGAAGGACACCCAAGAATAATGGGTTTTTGCCAGACTGGGCTCCAGCATAAGACATAGCATCCACATGTAACATCCACTTTGGATGTTCTAGGAAAGCACAGAACAGATACAACAGCAAGTGAGAATCAGATGGTAGCTCAAGTGTCCACTTTTTATTCTTTTTATCATAAACCTCCCCACTTCCAAGATACTCATAATTCTTCAAGCAGGTTCCTTCTGCAAGCTCTGAAAATTAAGACAAGAAAACTAAAATTGGGTTGCACCCGTGTATGCTGGCCATAAAACCAATCTTAGATTAATAATGTTCTGCTTCAATTTTTTCAGGAAATCCAATGAAGGTTACAGACTAATAAAAGCAATATATATATAATTCTGACTACCTCGGATCCTTTGCACAGTATAATCAGCACGAACACTGCTTTGAGGAAGCAGACCTTTAACCCACTCTCCTTTAACCAAGGCTTGGAGCCTTTGGTGTTCAGTGATAGCATCCACACAATCCTGCATGATAGGAACTAAAGAAGTCTGCTGTGGGGATTGCTGTATATTAGATACAAATAACTTGGCTGTGTGCAAATATAAACCAAGTGAAATTTGTAAGAACTCAGAAGCTATCAGCAAATATAACCAAATCAGGACCAAAAATCACATGTAATTGACAAATGTAAAGCAACATACATTTGGAAGAATCTATGGCCAGCACAAGAGTAGAATGTAACTGATGAAGTAGTCCATCTTCATTGAGAGACAGGGCAGATTGCCAGTCTTGACTCTTATCAATTGTTGGCAAAGTAGCAGGAGTAGACAGCATATCATTGCCCACTTGACTAATTGTGATAGAAATACCAAGTTTAGCAGCAGCTTGCATAACCTATGAATATAAAAATCTTAGACCCAGGGGGAATAAACTTAGTTGATGTTCCAATCATGTTATGGGCTTCTAGCATAAATTGACAAGAGCTCGTTTGGATACAGTGCCAAAATGAGTTTTTAACAGCTTTTGCCTAGTTTGCATGGCTCATCCAAACATTATTTCAAGATCCTTAGAATTTTTGAACTGAAATTTCAGAAATAAAAACTTTTGGAATGTTCAACCTTTTGTGCTAATATTACCAACCATTACCTTTTGTGCTAATATTACAATATCTTTAGATAAACACAATCTGAAAAGTATATTGAATAAGAATTAATTCTCCAAAATCAGTTCTACGCCATTTATCTAAACACACAGATGAGAGCTCCAGAACTCTCCATGAATAATGATTTGTTACATATTGTTGACTTTTCACTATCTTTTTTATATTTTGTTTCCATGATTTGAACACAAGAAATGAAGAATAAAATGAACCTGAATGTGACTAGTCTCAATCTTGTTAAGCAAAGGATTGAGCAGAACTGAAGAAAACCATTGCCTGAGTTGGTCATGCCACTGTTCAATTTGAGGATAGATGCCAAGATGTTCAAAAGCTTGAATAGATTCTTCCATGGACATTGGTGAAGGAAACTCACCCTCACCCTTCTTAGGGGGAGTTTTAAACTTTTGTGATCCAGGAGACATCCTCACAGGCCTCAATGGCATAAGTCTTGTAGTTCCAGAGGTATTTGATGAGCCAGTAACTGTACTAGGGCTCACTATCCCAAAACCAGGAACAGTAGGAGGAGGGCTAGACATCTTTCCTGCCGACACATTGATCCTTTCATCCACTTCAGCTAGGAATTTCTCCAGCTTTTCCTCTGACGTTATCTTACTAGCAGAGGAGGCTCGCCTGATAGACCAAGGACTTGAAACCGAGTCCACTCCATTTGAAACCCTCGGTGGCGAAACCAAACCCGGCGCAAGATACAACGATGGTGAACCTGGTGACCTCGAGGGAGTACCAATAGAACGAGCAGCAGCACCCCTGTTAGAGTTTGAACCATCCACATCAATGTGAGACGAAGAGCCCCGAGTGGGGCTGGGAATCGGCTGATGAAGGGGAACAAGCAAATCTGAAGAAGGCAATTGGGGTTTAGACTTGGGAGGCTTCTTGGCCGAGTCAGGTTGAGCCATATCAACCTTCGGCATCACTCCTAAAAGCCCTAGTTGATGTTTGGTTAGCAAAATCTCAGTTCTATTAACATTGCTAGAATCAACCACAGGCTTAGCTGCAACTACACCTCCAGCATACCTAGCCCTACGCAGAAACACAACTTTGAGGAGTGCAGAAATAGTTCCAATCAAGATAAAACCTACAAAAGCTTGTATGGTCTTGGCAAGCCAATCTGAAGTTCAACAAATGGGTCAAAGATTACAAATCACACTAATTTTAAAAAATCAATAAAATAAAATTGAGGTTGAGAACTTACAAGCTGTTAAAGGGGAAAAGGTTCTGAAGCTCAAAATGTCGATGAAGCCGTTTTCCCTGCAATGTGCGAATAATGTTATATAGAGCGAATCGTTAATAGCGCGAAGAAAAGAGTGTGGTATGTACCTGAAGATGATAGCGAGAAAGGCGAATGCGGAAGCGGAGAAGAAGGAGAGGATGGAAAGGATGGTGAAATTGGAAGGTTGAAGACTGTTGGAAGTGAGAACCGCGGAAAAGGAAGGGTTTTGATAGACACTGAACTTGGATTTGGGTGCAGAAGCCATGGATATTCGGAACCAAGCTCGTTAGGGTTTTGGTACGGGGTTTAAGCTTCACACTTCATCAAAACAATTGAAAATACAAACCCAGTTCTTCTTCTTCGTCCCTCGCTCCATCATTTCTTTTGTTTAAAAATAACCCTTCTTTCAAATTTAATAACTCTTATAATTTGACACTTATAACTAATATCTAATATCTAAAAACTAATCACTTTTTCGTATAAAAAAACGAAAATAATAATAATAATATTAATATTAATATTTTGATAATGTTTTAGGTCATTTTCTCAACGGTATTCACCACCAAAACAACAACGACAACTTGTTTAATAATAATAGAAATTGAGAACAAAAGTATATGTAAGATAAAAAAAAAAAGTATATAAAGTTGTTTTGGGGATAATATTAATTTAAGGAAAATAGGATGTTGAGTATATAGAGAGAAAAGTAAATTATATGTATGCTATCATAAGTTAATTATTGTCAGTTAATTGATCCATTTTTATATACGATATAATGCTTTTGTAAACCATTGAGAAGATAAATAGACAAGTTATCGTGTAATACTATTTTAGTATATATAAAACTTAAATAATATATTTATGAAATGGAGATAATAAAACTATAAAATGTATAAAAGAAAAGAAGAAAAAGAAGGTAGAGTGTGAAATATGGAAAAGTCACGAGCCATGAATATAAAGATTGGTCCAGCATGGTTGTTTTGCTGACTTGACAATGAAGGACATGCTTTTCTGGAAATGTTTGGTAATGAGAGAGATAACGATGATATCATTTTTAGTGCGAAGATCATCCACGGTGGCTACCACCTCCATCCTTATCTCAAACTGTCATTATATTAATTAATTAATTTATTTATATATATATATATATATATATATTTATTTATTTATTTTCACTAAGCATCAAAAATCAATATATAAGCCATATACAGAGATCGATGGAGGGTGGCAAGCAGAGCTAATTGATCCATTTTCATTTTCCAATTGTGACCCATCCTTGTTTGTGTGACCATGCATAGGATCATCACCGTAAGGTCCATTTTTTCAGCTGTTTTCAGAAGCAAACCTCAGCCTCACTCTGCTGCTGCTTTCTCCACCTCCTTGCTCTTCGACGAAACTCAGATACAGGTTCTTTTTTGTTCAGTCTTTGTTTGACAGCTTTGTCAAAATGTTTGACCTTTTCATCTGGGTTTCTTGAAACCGGTGTTACTTCCATCTGGGTTGGCTTAATTACTCCGTCGAAGAAAATTGGAGGGTGAAAAATGGAATCTTGATAGAAATTTTTGTATGATCAATAAATTAAGAAAGTTGAGCTAGTTTTTAGTAGAAAGAAGATTTGGGGGCGGGTCATAGGTGCATCTTGTGTAGGAGAAGATTATGCTGGACACTTGTTTGAGCACTAAATGTAGATGGCTCTGGCCAATTATTCATTTTCTCTTTAGTCATATTGGTCTGTCAAAGATGAAAAAAATGGAAATCCAATGACCGTTTAGCATGGTGTCTGGGGAATTCATGCCAGAAGTGTCTATTTGGTTTATACATTGTTCAAATGGGTTGAAATTACTGAGGAGTCTCACCCCCATCAGCCCTTTTTTCATCAAATTGTTTGTAATAACAACAAATTATGTGTTTTGGTTTTCCACTGGAATAAAGCCTTACAGATGTTTGGTCCAATGCAAAGAATTTTTCCTTTCCCTTTGCGACAGCGTCCCATCGGATAACCAAACACGGCATTATTCATTTGGTTTTGCAAAGTGGGTGGAAGATCTTGAGAACATTTTCTAAAAATTGTTTTCTACTTCAAAACAAATTTAAAGAATTTTTTTATTACTATGTTCTTAAAACTTAAAGTATGCCATGCTTGTAATGATTGGAAGGTTTTATTGCATCATACAGTTTAAAGAAAGCGTTGCTCAGTTTGCATCGGAAAATATTGCCCCTCATGCTTCAAAAATAGACCACACAAATTATTTCCCAAAGGTCTGTATGAGAATCTATTTTTATCATGTCAATGATCACTATTCTATTTTACACATTTTTAGTGCATTTTGATGTAATTTTAGGAGGTGAACTTATGGAAAAGCATGGGTGAATTTAATCTCCTTGGGATTACTGCACCAGGTATTTTCTTCTTTTTTTCTAGCTTCATTGCTTACATTTTCTTATTTAAAAAAAATCTCCTTTTTTAGTTTTGCAAGCTGTTGGTGTTATCAGCAACCATTTGACAGATGCTATTTTCCCTGTATATATACTGTATGATAAAATTGTGAAGATAATCAATTGTAACAAAGAACACGATTCATTCTGATGCTCATAACTTCCAATCACTGAAAAAAGGTGTCTAATATACCCCTTCCCAAAGAAAGGTTAGGTAGCAGATACTGTTTGATTTTTCAGGCTGCGAGTAGAACTCACTCATTTATTCATTTATTCGCAAATGACAATTCTTTATTCTTCTGTATTATTCTATAAATGGAGTCACATGGACAAGGGCCTCACTTTTTATGAAGTTGTTTCTTTGGGTCTTCTTAATTTTAGAATAGTATAATTGGAATCTTCACAATATGGCCATGTCTTGTACGTCAACTATCTTTTACAGTTCAATTTATGCTTATTTGCAGAGGAATATGGAGGGCTTGGTCTAGGTTACTTGTATCACTGTATAGCAATGGAAGAGATTAGCCGTGCTTCGGCATCAGTTGGTCTTTCTTATGGTGCTCATTCAAACTTGTGTGTCAATCAGCTGGTAACTGAAGAGAACTTAAGTCTCTTCCATTGTATTCTTCATGATCTTACAATGACTCTCAAGGATTGACACCTTATGTTTTGTTTAGGTGAGGAATGGAAGCCCTGCCCAGAAAGAGAAATATTTACCAAAGGTTCTATAGTTCTTTGCAATTTAATCTTACTTATTTTCAGTGAAATGTTTGCTTCCTTACCCTCTTGCGGATGATGTGTAAAGGATTGACTTTGTCAGGCAAAAATGCTCATTGCTTTCTACCCATTTCTTGTGCTAATTAGTGGTCTTGCTCAACTTTTTTGCGTCTATCTGTTTAAAGGCTAAACTGTTTTTTTCTCTTCAAATTTGAAGCTTATTTCTGGGGAGCATGTGGGAGCTTTGGCAATGAGTGAGCCCAATTGTAAGATATGTGAACCTTGAATTATAATATCTTTCAATTTTAAATACGCCAAGTTCTTTGCAAAGTGAATGATTTCTTCTGCAGCTGGGTCTGATGTAGTCAGCATGAAATGCAAGGCTGATCGTGTAGATGGGGGCTATTTACTTAATGGGAACAAGATGTGGTGTACTAATGGCCCAGTTGCTCAAACATTAGTATGTTTCTTTAAATTCATTGAATTTTCCTATGCTCTTTGCATTGTGACCTTAGTTGTGTTTGATTTGTTTTTGGAAAAGTAGTAGGTCAGTGTTTTTATAATTTGCAACTTCAATGAACTATTTTCCATGTGACAGCATATGATTATCATAATTTGAGGACCTGATTTCAAAATAATGATAAAAAAGTTTAATATGCCATAAGTATTTATTGAACCATACAACAACAATAGCCTTATTGGTCAAAAACCAAATTCTCAAGTTTTTTCTTTTTAATAATTTCTTCCAATGCCTTTCTTAGTTTCCCTCTACCCTTTTTCATAGGGCCAAGAGCAATGCAATCTACTCCTCACTTTTGCCTTCAATGACCCTCTCTAGATATTGTTAAACCACTTAAACTGGCTCTCCTTGTATACAATACTGTATAATATCATTTCCTTTGTGGCCACAAATTCACCTTGGCATTATAATTTCTGCCTCTCCTACTTTTCTCTCATGTTGTCCTTTAAAATCCGACATTCAGTACCATAGAGTATAGTTGGTTGTATAGTTATTTGATAAAACTTCCTTTTGAGGTTGGTGAGTATTGTGAATTGTGATCACGTAATTTTGATACCTATTCCATTTTAACTTCCGAGCATGAATCATGTGTGACATATTTATTAATTTCCCCATCGTGTTATAATATTAATCCCATAAAAAACATTTCGTGTGACATGTTTTTATAAATCTTACCTGCAAATCATTTTTGTCATATTTGTAATGCATGTAATTTTTTCTATTTTCTTGACTAAACATGTAATAATTCAAAGTTGAGCCCTAATGTAAATCCATCCTAATAAAGAATTTCGTTTTGTGTCCAAAGCTTCTCATACTAGTAGTTACCCGATCATATCATACTTGTCATGAATAGCCCGGACATGCTGCAAAAACCTTTTATTTTCCAAGCCTTTCACAACAATTTCTTTTGCACTAAATAATATGCTTTCTGTAAGTTGATAAAAATCAGATATAGCACTTTTCCTTTACTTTGGTTGCTTTCCATCAACTTCCATAGAAGATAAATAGATTATCGTTTAATCTTTGGCATAAATGCAAATTGATTCTCCTGTATCCAAGTCTGTTTTCTTAATCCATACTTAATCACTTCTTCCCATGATACAAAAATGTAGGTAAGACCTTATTACACCATGAATGTGAAAAAATGTAAGGAAGAAAATGCTAAGCTAAGCATGTTATCATAATGCTTGGGTTCCAAGTAAACCATCAGAACTGATATTTAATATGGATCACATATTTTCTATTTTAGTTTTTGTGTTTGTGACTAGTTCTATATATGAGGAAGCATTGATACTCATTTAATACAAAACTAAATCTTAATATAATTTATTCATATGCTGGAATGCATAGCACATATTTATTTTGTTGAATTGAATCAGGTTGTCTATGCTAAAACAGACATAACTGCTGGGTCAAAAGGCATTACTGCATTCATCATCGAGAAGGGAATGCCTGGGTAATTGCTCTAAACCTTGACAATAAGTTATACAATATTAAGTGGACAAACCTCTGTATTTGAACTTAGTTAATTCACAGGCAATAATGTGACTACATGTTATGGCCAATCAAATGATAATGTCACATGATTTTAAGCTACGATTCACGTTCTGAAAAGTGATGCTTGTCCTCAAACTAATGGTTTTCAAATTATACCTTAAACCAAGTTTCTCTCATGTATCATTCGACGGAACTCATTTAGTGGGACTTTCCATGTTTTATAGTATTAATTCAAATAAAAAGTATCTGAACCTTAGCATCAGATAGTTCAAATTTGATACCCAAGTGAGTCTACAGCTTGCAAATCCTTTTCTGAAAATGGTGCAGAAAGAAAGTGCCAAGATTCTCATGACCACTCATAAATAACATCCATGCAATATATATCAGAAGATAGGCAATTTTCACATGGTTAAAAGGATAAGGCCTCCTTTAAATATCATTTTATTGGTGTGAAAATTCAAGATGAAAGAGAACAATCTAACATTGTTTCTATTTGACTACAGATTCAGTACTGCCCAGAAATTGGACAAACTTGGGATGCGAGGAAGTGATACGTATGTATGCATGTTTTGTGAGAAAACTCCTATGTATATTCCATTCCTAACCACTTTCCCTTACTTTTTACTGATAAAATGGGATTCTGGGGGGCAGGTGTGAGCTTGTTTTCGAGAATTGCTTTGTTCCAGAAGAAAATGTTCTTGGGAAAGAAGGGAAAGGTATTGCTTTTGAATGAAACCATTAAGAAAAAGATCTTTATTGTCTTTTTCTTTTTAAAAGAAAATCTTTTTTTCATACCAGTAATATAAGAAATAAAGAAAACAGCATATTTATTATTTTCTTATCTTTGTTACTTCTGAACTGGAATTGTTTTTTAGTGGCACCATTTTCAAAGCACACCTGACTCATAAATTTGTGTACATTAAGAGAATCTCTCTAAACTAAAACCATTTGTTTCCCTTTCTCTTTTTACAATGTAAATTCTGTTAAAAAAAAAACATTTTGTTATCTGTTCATTGTCATTATCACTTATCAAGTGTCAGCCATTACAACTTATTCTATGTTTCAGGAGTATATGTTATGATGTCTGGGCTGGATCTGGAGAGACTTGTTTTGGCAGCTGGTCCTCTGGGTATTATGCAAGCAAGTCTTGATGTTGTTCTTCCTTATGTTCGACAAAGAGAGCAGTTTGGTCGTCCCATCGGGGAGTTTCAGTTTATACAGGTTTCTTATGCACAACATATTTTTTGCAATTATCCTGCATATGTATTTATTTTAATACATGAATCTTTGTCGATCGCATTGTCAACTGAAATTTTGTTACAGGGGAAAATTGCTGACATGTATACTGCATTACAGTCCTCAAGGTTGAAAGATTCCAATGTCACGGTTATCTTTTCTCTTTCTAAATAAGTTTGCATAGCCGTAGATAACATTCTTTATTTCAGGTCCTATGTGTATTCTGTAGCTCGAGACTGTGACAGTGGAAAGGTTGACCCAAAGGTGCATCCACATGTCTTTATCTTGCTAAATTAGTACTATTAAGCTTCATCATCGGGTACACTAAATGGACTTTTTTTTTCCTGTTTATGGAACTGCATCCATTTTTTCATATATTTTGTCTGCTTTTCACCCTATATAGTTGTTTTTGGGTCTATTTTTATATGGTATAACATGAATACAGTGGCATCTGTGAGTAGTAACATTGTGGACGTTTTCATGATATGCTATGCTATTAAAAGCGTAAAATTATAAATCTTGAAATGTTTGATTTCTGTATTTGCTTTTAACTCAATCACAAACTTAAGCTAAGATGTTGGTTCATTACATTTCTACTGTTTTCAATAGAAACTTCGGTATTATGGAGTGCCTAGGTCACATATTGAGTAACATGAAATATTTGGTGGAGTATTTAAGTGCTTGATCTTCCCCCTTTGATAAGCACTGAAGCAATTCGGAAACCCACCTCTCTATTAAGGTTGATAAGCACTTAAATATTTCTCTCAACATTTCATATTACTCGATATCTCATGTACCCCATATTATCCAAATCCCTATAAGTTTCTCACCATGGTTGTTTGCCTGTTCATTATGCTATCAGGATTGTGCTGGAGCCATACTTTGCGCAGCTGAAAGAGCAACCCAGGTTGCTTTGCAGGTAATAAGTTGCTTGCATCAGTTATAGTTGCTGCTCTTGTTCTTTTTTCATCTATCAGTGCTTACCCCCACCAAATGTGCAGGCTATACAGTGTTTAGGTGGGAATGGCTACGTGAATGAGTATCCTACTGGTCGTCTCCTGAGAGATGCCAAACTCTACGAGATTGGGGCAGGAACTAGTGAGATCAGAAGAATGATCATTGGACGCGAGCTCTTCAAGGAGCAATAACATGCCACCATACCTACATTATTCCAATCTTTTGGATCTTGAATGGTGCTGATTCCCTTGGGTGTTGATGAAACTAATGTTACATTCATCAGCCGAGAATTATAATCACACGATAATTGATCACTGGTCCAATGAATAAAATTTCCACCTTATATTTTTCTATGCTTCGAAATTCTTCACAACCATGTTACTTAAGTATTCCATATGACAAGGAAAGAATATTTTTCACTTTACAACTTGATTTTGTTAGAGTAAATTAGACTCATTCAAATTTTAATATTGATTCTTAGTCCATCTTAATAATTATTATTAAGTATATCAAGTCATTTGTTATAAAATCATGAATAGATGTACCATTCTTCAAATATTATTACATTTGAAATATTTAGTCCTCGGTGTAATATATGTGTTGTCTCAAATTATGATTTACGTTTAGGGATCTTCAAAAACCCGTTTCACACCTCAAGGAGGTTCCCAACAGTTGTAATAGAACGCAACCATGGTGGAAGTTTTGGAAACCATCACCATCAACATTATTCCAGAGTAAATAACTCAAGCCATAATGGCTTATTTTATGATGCCAAGACTGGCCCTTATTTAGCTACTTCAGTGCACTTAATTGTCAGTCTTTCTAGCGCTGACCATGCAATTTTTGGTGGGCCTACAAGCTCAGAGGGTAGTAACCAAACACAGCATTAAAACATGTTGATTAATATTGTACAGAGACAGGACCAACATAATAAATGCCTAAGACAACCCCGATACTTAGACTCTAACTGCTGTTGGAGAATAATCTGGTTGACCCACTGAGGAAGACTTAGAAGCTTCCATAATGATTGGTGCCTCTTCCAAACAGCTGTGAGTGTCATCACTTATCATCCCAATTGTCATCTTTTCCACCTCTTCTTGGGTATATATATGGATCTTGGACACCACATCACAAAACTCACTGCAGTCATAGGAAACATGAGAATAATTATAGTGTCACCATAAAAGTACATCACAATAATTTGACCATAGATAGCTTACATTGAACAGAATACAAGAGATATCATGTTTCAATACATGTTGAAACAGGTGATGATGATTGATAACTGATTAAAAGGTGAAAAAAGCAGTATTATTTAAAGTGTTGATTTGAGTCCAGGAAGAAGAATACTTACTGCCACGGGTCATCTCCCACAACCATTATGTCATTCTCACTATCAGTGTATAGGATCCTCCATCCCTTGTCAGGATCTTTTAGAAGGCCTTCCATGCCAAACAGCCTCTCTAGTTCACTCAGTAGATCATTGTAGCTGCTCAGTCTTGAAAGATCAATAGCTCTTCCAACTAAGCTGCCTTGCTTGTGAACCTTCATTTAGGGTATGTTACATAGATGGGTAAAACTTGAGAGAGAAAAAGGCATATCATAACATAATTTTGTTGTTATCATCCCTCACCTTTGTGCAGCTCCTTTTACCAGAGTTCTGTAAATTTTGGGCAGTAGTTTCCCCAGACAAAGAAAAGCCGAATAGTTTGCAGGGATTTACTTTTCCCTGGACATCGTTGTCATTAGGAACCCCCATATTTGCAGCCCCTAATGAAGCAGCAGCAGAAAGATTGTCCTGCAGCTTATGTTCATTTAGGAGTTCTGATCGTCCAACTTCATTTACAATGATTCCTGCCTGAGTTGATGGTTTATTAAATGGGACATTCTCTCTCTGGAAAGTGGTGGATTTTGAGCAGAACAAGCTAGCTTGACCAGCTTGGTGAATGTCCCCATAAGGAAACAGCGTAGGTTGAAAGTTGGGTGTGGTTGCCTGGTGGAGGTTAAAGCCTAGATTGGGCATTCCCCAAGCACCAAGGTTCAAATCAACCTTTCCTGTCAGTGATTTCAATGGACATATTTCTTGACCTTGCAAGACCCTTGGAAACCTGTTAGTTTCCACAAAGCCTGCATAGCTGAAAGGATGAACACTACTAAGCTCAGAAGAGGCAACCTTTCTTACTTCAGCTGATCCAAGATTTGGATGACTCGGAGAGCTCATCTCAAAACCTAGTGGCTTGGTTAATGTGTCACATCCATAGTAGAGTGACACAAAACCTGCATTTTCTTGACCTTGCAAGACCTTGGGTGATCTTACAGACTCCTCAAAGCCCACTAACCCACTGCCTCGTGCTGCTAAATGAAACAACGAAGATGATTATTAGGACCGGATATATCAAGTTAGCAGCTAGTAAGCATTGTCTTGTTTGCATAAATTTGTCTACAAACACTTCCAGGAAAAGAAAATAAGAAGGTAAAATGAACTAGGCAACATTCATAAGCTAAAACAAACAACTTATGTGTTTAAAGTTTTGTAAAAGCTCTTTCCATTTAACTTCTTCTCTAAGAGCTAAAGTGCATAATCTAGTTTTAGCTTATGAAAAAATGCAATGCATTTTATTTATTATTTCCTTTTCCAATAAATACTTATAGAGAAGTTTATCCAAACAAAATCATATTATACTTTAGTTTAGGACTCATACCAGTGATGAGGTGACTAGGTGAGGCAACCTGTAGACCTGTCCGCATTTTCTTCAGTCTTGGGGAAGACTGAATGCTCAATGGAGGCAGAGGAGCAGAAGGATCAATCTCCCATGGAGATACTCGGTCTTGATGATTAGCCTCAATATCCTCATCCCATCTGACCTGTTGCATGTCACAGCAAGCTTACATTAATGAAGAGATCATCATGTGGCCTTTCACTCAATTCATGTATCTTATCTTTGTATGTGGTTTGTTAGGGAAACCTTCCTAATAACTACATATGATGATATGTAAATTAATTTAAGAGTGAGACACGAAAATTGTGCAAGCAAATACGTAGAAAAGTTGGGGAAATTGGATTAGATTTCTCTGAGGTTCACAAAGTGGCTACACAATAATTCAGTTTATTTTATAAATTACTCTATTTTATTAAAATTATTTATTCTGAACATGTACATAATATTTCTTATCCTCGGTTCTTCATGCATTTCTCAAAAACTGCAAATTACAATATGATGAGATAAAACATGGATTCAGAAATGAAACATAGTAATGAATCAAAATCGAAATGTACCATCAAGCACCTCCATTTTGATTTAGGCCATCTATAAGGATCCAAATCACTAGTTGCAATCAACGTGCCACTACTACACCTGCAAAATAGGAAGTTGATATTGTGTCACACGCAAAAAAGCTTTTTGAAGGAAGACATAGGACTAAAGATTTATAATTATGTTATAGTCTTACCTTCTTTCCTGAGATTCATCCATTTCAAGTCTTATTTTGAATCTTGTCCCAATGCTCACTGGATTCTTGATGCTTTTGGCATATTTTTTATATGGAACAACAAAATCAGCATGACTTGCCCTGTATTAAATCAAATTCAAACACATTACAAATTTGTTTCTAGAGTCACATACTAGTCAAGAGTTAGCAACCAAAGAGGGAAGACATTACATCCATAGGAAATTAAACATTATGGCGAAAAAAAAATCATTTATAAGGAGGCCTATTAGAGGAACAAAGCTAGTTATGTAAAGTCCAGAGATATTATCATCTGAGTTTCCAGAAGGGACATGGCCCATTTCTGTCTAAATCAAAATGTACCCTATACTTCCATCCACATTACTGGAGTGTTTCATAATCAAAGTCTAAGTACAAATAATTGCAGTGAGAACTTCATACATCTTACAAAGAAAGAAGACATGATCAATCAGTATTAGTACCTTGGACTGTAGAAAACATGAAACTTGCTTTTGGTGGATATTGCATTTGCCACAGAAGAAAGGACATTGGGGTAGCAGTTCTGGCTACCAATAACTGATTCAGGAAGATCATTTCTAGGTCGAACAGCTCTTCTGATTCCCAATCTCAGTTCACCATTTTCACCCCTGAAAAGTCATTAATAAGTAGTAGCTAGTAAGGATCTGAAAAGTAATATATTGACAGATAGACACTTCTTTCTCTGAAACTGGATATTCGGAATCTCTAGTTAGATTTAATTGGCTTCCAAAGATTATTATTATCATTCATTTCTCATGCTTTCAGAGTTTGGTAAGACTTAAATTCTTTATTCTCATGAAAAAAAGGCCACCAGTTCTGGCACTATACAGTACAAGGAAGCTCCTCAATATTAATAATACAACATAAAAAACTACCTACTAATTATTCAAAGGGAAAATTTAAAAAATACATGCTTTTGTTGGCATTTGATGATTACTTTCTTCTAAATTATTGGAGGATAATAATTAATAATTGTAGGTGAGACTTTTAGGTGTAGCAAGAGATTTGATGCCACAGCACACACACTGCTCTATAATATATTGATAAATATATTACCTTAGAAAGAGCACTGCATCACCAGAAACAAGATTCTTTTGGCTTACAAAAATACTCCAGCCAGTAGTAAGCAGATGCCGCCTTGGCTGACCTGATATAACATAGGTTTTGTGTACCAATTAGTGTCTTTTTTGGTTTAGATTTAAGTAGAATTGATTTTGAAGTTGAACATGATTTAGCCACAATTTTTTTATATTCGAATTTGCAGCGTGTCATAAATTGATTCTCAATGTAAATCAAATGGGACCTTAGTCAATATATGAAGTCATATACTTTCACACCTCACCTAGTTTTTCAAATTACATTACCTCTGTAAATGTGACGAAACTTCCACTCCACACCATGCAGGTCTTTGGCAACTAGCTCTTGTGAGGGCCTCTGCTGCTTATAATCCTGCAGTATTGAAAGTAAAAGGACAGTTCACCAACATAATCAAGGCTATACAATCAAATATATGCTCTTTAACTTAATAGAATCTTTGTTATCTAAATTTTCCAAAAGTTGAGATGCATAAGTTTGTTTTAACTTATGGAAGAAGTTTGATTTATTTTACTTTTCACTTTCTTTTTTATAAGTGTTAGTAATTAATATTATGCTGTGAAAGATGTCACACCAGAGGAGGAAAACAGTCTTCGGCAGCTCTACGAGGAACAGAAAAGCCCCCATGTGTGCTGGTATCAGAGGCAGTTAGTGTTTTGCAAAACATGTGGGGGGTTGATTTAGTTGGTGATCTTTCATCTCCCTCTTCTTCTGCTCCAAAATCCTCAAGTTCTTTGCCCTCTGAATGCATCCCTTCCAACTGAAAAGAATCCAGTGTATTCAGAATTGCTAAATGTGATGCATCAAAGGAACAGTTAGTGCATCATTTAACATTTCAAGCTCATAGAGAAAATATTCCTTATTCTAATTAAACAATGAAAAAAGCTACAAAATTTACTACTCCCCCCCTGAAGAAGCACCAAATTTCAACTCTTACAAGTTAGAAACACACCAAAACATAAGTAACTTCAAATGAAAACCAACCTCGGCCTGAGGAAGCAAAGTAACCTGTGTATAAACCTCATCATTCTCCTTGTTGGCCTGTTCCAGGAAGTGACAATTTAGCTAAACAAAATGGAAATAGACCCAATACAAGGAGCAGGAAAATGGTGACATGTCAAAAATGAAATTCAGCATACACAAGTGAATCTAAGAGGAGAATTCAGCACTCACAAGCAGCTGGACATTGACAACCCTGCAAAAGATCTGTGGCTGAAGATCATAAGAGGGAATCTCCATTGGTGTGAAAGGAGAGAAAGAGGCAACCTGTTCTAAGTGACCTTGTGGAAAATAGACCACCACATTTCCTTTCTTGGGAAGAGAAGTGAGGGGGCCAGCACAAGCATGCCAAAGCTCAAGGTAAGAAGAGGACACACGAGCTGAAGAGGAACTAGAAGATGAACAAGTGGAAGAGGACCAACAACTAACACCAGCATCTTTCTCACATTCCCTATCACAGAATGCATTCTTCTCAACCTCGGCCACTTCATGGTTCAGATCAATTTCCATGAACACCTAGTGGTGTAGGCTCTTGAAAGACTCAAATGGAAGCCAAAAGAACAAAAAAGCAACCAAAACACCCCACCAGAAAAATCAGAGCTTCAAGGGAGGGAAAGAGTATGTCACCAAGTGGAATTGTGAGAAGGAAACCCCAGAAAGTGCAAAGCATAAATACCATGGAAAGGAGGCTAATTTATGAGAAGGAATTCATATTTGGAGGGACACCACAGTGTTAAATCATGGGGAGAGTGGAAGTGGATGAACAGAAAACAACAAGAAAGTCATGTTGAGAAGGATACCCAGACAGGATTTAAAGATAAGAAAAGAAGGAAGAGAGCAGAAAGAGAGAAGAATATTAAATAATAACAAGAAATTCAACGTATGATTCCACCCCCATTTGCAGGTACTGAGAAGGGGGAGCAGAAGCAGCAGACATAGACAATTGCATAGGAAGCACATAAACAAAAGGC